AGTCCTGGCCCTGCCATTCCCTCACTGTGTAATTCCAGGAGGGTTTCTAAACCTCTCTGATGTACAGTGAGGCTAACACATTCATTCATTCATTCCATGTGGTGAGATGTGTTCATGCCCCAATAATAATGACTTGAGGATTCTTTCAAATTAGAATGTTTAAGTACTTTGTTCAGCATTTTTTTAGTTGCAAAATCCGACTTTCTATGAATGCAAAGTATAAAAAGAAACAGACCCAGTAAATCACTTCCATGGGTTGAAGCAACATCGAAGTTCTGGAAAATTTTAGCACATTTTCGCCTTTTCTGTAGTTCTTGTTCTCTGCTTTTCTTTCAGAATTTTCTGAATCAGCCAACTTCTTAGAAGACACGTTATAGGGTTTATTTCCGTCTTTCTCAACCTAGGCAGTATTGGCATTTGGGGCCAGATAATTCTTGGTTGTGGGGGCTGTCCTGTCATTGGAAGATGTTTAACACCAGCTACAGCTTCTACCCACTAGATGCCAGTAGCACCCCTTCCCCACTCCCAGTTGTGACCATCAAAAACGTCTACAGACATTGCCAAATGTCCCCTGGGGGTCAAAACTGCCCCCAGTAGAGAGCTACTGGTTTATATAATAAATCACTCATTTCCAAGCCATGAGACTATGAGGTTCATTATTCAGTTTTAGAATGTCAGCTTTCAGTTGCTTGACCTGTGCTTGGACTCATTACTGAAATATTCGACTAATAGGGTGGTGAATCCTTGTATATATTTCAGGTTATAGGGTGAACGACAGGGTCATCCACTTTATAATTATAGGGTGATAGGATTGTTACAATCCCCATTATATTAGGGGCTGATTAGCCATCCCAGTTTGTCTGGGACTTTCTGAAGTTTAGCACTAAAAGTCCCAAGCGCCTGGTAACCCTTTGGTCAGGCCTAGGTTGGTCACCTTACAATAGAGGTAGGTCTTTACTAGCTAAAAACATTTTCAGTGTTCCAGTTGGAGTCACTGCCCACTTCTGTAGGAGTGAGACCTATGATCATTCCCCTAGTAAGGTAGCACATGGTGTTTGGAAGCCTGAGTTAACCAGTGCAAGATTTCCAGTATATTTCAGTGGTGTTTCCATGCCCTTTATACGAGTCCTCTTTTGTCTTGCCTGCAGTACCTGGCCAGACATGCTTGTACTTACTTGTTTTTATGTAAGAAGTCACTTTACTAATTTTTACTGAAATAAGCCTTGCACTCCTCAGTCGAGTTTTGCTGTGTTATTGGATCTTTTCACTTGGATTTGTACCCATCAAAATCCAAGTGAAAATATCCAATAGCACAGCAAAACCAAACACATCTTAGGTTTCCCTCTTGCTCTGTACATTTTTCTCTCCTATGTTCTTGCATCAAAATATGTTTTACCTAAAAACGTCCTATTTTTTGCAAAATGCCTGCAGCCACAGGTGACAAGAAGATAAAAGTGTAAAGTAAGCCATGGTGGTTTCAGCCGTCAGTTGCACTAATTTGCTCAGACCTTTAAGAAATGGGGAAATGATGAGTGCTGATGTTGCAGCTGCTGCAAAGTTCCTGGAAGCTTTAGGGGTTTGTACAACAGGCAGGATATTGGCAGGATATAATTATGAGCGTGTATTTCAGAGATCACCAGCTTGAATCTTGAACTTACTTTTCTATTAATAGAAACACTTCAGTTTTTGCAATAATTATAATGGGAGTTAATCATCCCATATATGAGTTTTTACCTACGATAAGCAAAAATTTAGGTCTAATTATAGTTGTATGTGAGTGATGCTTATAATTCTGCTGGGGGCTGAGGTGGGATTAGATGTGATAATGATGATGATAATGATAATGATGATGATGCGATCATATGTTGGGGGCTCACCCAGGTGCCAAACGTTTCGCTAAACACTTTACATGTATGATCTCATTTCATCCTTGCCACAACTATGGAAAGTGGGTAGGGTCTGTTATTACCCCTATTTTATAGATGAGGAATCAGAGGCTTTCAGAAGTAAATGGCTGACTCAACGTGTCACAGTGAATGAATCTGTTACTCAAACCCACTGATCTTTCTGATTCAAGATCCCAGACATTTAACCAATTTACATGGGCAAAGGGCTGGTTACCCAGTAGACTGACAACAAATGCTACATGTCACTCTGCTTGTCCTGGAAGTAAACAAGCAGAACAGAATATAAGAATCTGTCTCAATCCCAACCTGGACCAAAGCTTTTCCTCATCACTTCCCCAGCCTGCCACACATTCCCATCATCCTTTCTTGAATTGAAAGATGACAAATGGATCTTTGTGTTCTCATGAAACACATCTGGGTTCGGAGAGCCAAGAAGACTCTACAGTCACTTTCTCCTTTTTCAGGGAAGGTGAGGGAAAGGAGAGGAGGGAGGGGACCTTGAGTAAGTGATGAATTAACAGCTTCCCTTACAGTGTCCTCTTATGGAGAGAACAGTGCTGGGGAGTTCCTGGTGATTTTTCACGATGTCCCTAGAGCCCGAGGTCTGATTTATACGTCAGTACTCCCTACTGCCCTTTGCTCATTTGTACTGTGGTTGGCTGTAGGCTGAAGAGCTGGACCACACAGAGTTGTTAGCAGTGAGGAAAAGGGTGTTTTGATATCCTGCACTTGGAGCATTTCTAGAAGCATTGGCTCAAATGAGAGATGACAGGGGAACTCAACGAGACCAAAATCCCCAGTGGGGGTATGCAATGAACCAAGCCCTCCTGCAAAGAGGGCAAGGATTTGGTTTCCTGACTTTTTTTGTGTGTGAGAAGCCTTCAGGAGCACTTAATTCAGTGACATGGAAAAAGAAAAGCAGGTACAGAGAGTAGGGAAGATAATGAGATGGAAACTTTGCTGTCCTTTAATTGCAAGTTTCTGCTGCCAGAGGGGGGTCTTTCCAAAATGCTCAGCCAGCATTCCCCTCCCTGTTTAAATTTCTTCATGAGTCCCCCCTTGCTCTCGGTGAAAACCAACTTCATGATGAGACCCTGCATCATGTTTACTTACTCCTCGGCCCCCTCTCATCTCTCCCCTCTTCATGCCCAGAGCTCTGGCTTCCCTGAGCCACCAATCCTTATGGCAGGCCATGTGCCCACCCATTGACATGTCTTTGCACCCCATTGCTACTGCCTGGGTCTTTCTCGCATACCTCTGCTGGTTCTCATTTATCAGTCAAGCTCAGCTCGGTCACCACTTTCCTGACTCCCCTCAAATCAGAGGCCTTCAGAAGTAAATGGCTGACTCAAAGTTTCTCTGTGGGTGGATCTGTTACTCAAACTCACTGATCTCTCTGATTCAAGATCCCAGACTTCTAACCACTTTATATGGGCAAAGGGCTGGCTACCCAGTAGACCAGCAACAAATGCTACATGTCTACCCTCTTCTGTCATGTCACGGAAGTGCCATTGTCTACCCTTTTCTGTCACACCGTATTACATACTACCCTGTTTGTCTATTTACCTGCCTGTCTTCCTGACCAGACTTTATATTCTTTGAAGGCAGGCCCGTCTCGTTTCTAAAGTGCTCACTGTTTAAACATCTAGGGCCAGCACATGCTTGGAACATGGTAGATGCTCAGTAAATATTTGTTGCTTAAATGAATCTCAGTAGGGACCTCTGGAGAGAGAGTGTTCTTGCCAATACAAGGCCCCCTAAATCTGGTTCAAATCCAGGTGGGCTCATTTCTAAGAGGCAATCTGGGGGCAGTAGGATGAATAGAAAGATGTTCATGCTTGAAGCCACAAGAGATGGGTTTACATTCTTGGACAGGAAATTTCTTTATACTATAAGATAAAGTATAAGATCTATAGATCTTATACTAGACTATAAGATCTTTAAAGAAAGAATTCTTGTCTTGTTTAATTATTACACCCCCAGTGCCTAGCAGAGCCCTTGACACAGAGGAGGAACACGGTGTTTTCTTGTGGGCATGCATGGACGATTATCTCAACTCTGCCCGTAACTATCTGGATGACCGAGCTTGTTACCAGACCCTAGTCTTCTTGACTTGAAAATGGGTGTACCAGGAATACTATGCAGCCATAAAAACGAATGAGATCATGTCCTTTGCAGGAACATGGATGAAGCTGGAGGCCATCATCCTTAGCAAACTAACATAGCAACAGAAAGCCAAATACCACAGGTCCTCACTTAGAAGTGGGAACTAAAGGATGAGAACACATGGACAGAAAGGGGGATGGTATGGGTGTAGTGCCTCACTGCCTGTAACCCCAGCACTTTGGGAGGCCAAGGCAGGTGGATCACTTGAGGTTAGGAGTTTGAGACCAGCCTGGCCAACATAGTGAAACCCTGTCTCTACAAAAAATACCAAAATTAGCCAGGCATGATGGCGTACGCCTGTAATCCCAGCTACTCGGGAGACTGAGGCAGGAGAGTCACTTGAACTGGGAGGTGGAGGTTGCAGTGAGCCGAAATCATACCACCCTACTTCAGCCTGGGGACAACAGACACTGGGACAACAGACACTTGAGTGGGGACAGTGGGAGGAGGAAGAGGTTGTAAAAAAATAATAATAATAATGACTGGGCACTAGCCTTAGTACTTGGGTGATGAAATAATGTGTACAACAAACCCCCATGATGCGACATGAGTTTACCTATATAACAAACCTGCACATGCCCCCTGAACCTAAAATAAAAGTTAAAAAGCAAAAGAAAATACTGGGGAAAGAGAGAGCAGTTTAAAGGGTCTTAAACTTCAAGTCTTAAACTTGATTGCAGGTTTTAAACTTGAATTGAGGTTTTAAAACCATGCACATAGAAGACTTAGAATTCATATCACATGATCACACATGATTCCCAGGGGGGCACATCTATGAGGATTTTTCAGTTCTGTTTTCTGAAGAATGAGTGACCAAAATAAATGTATTAGATCTGCAGTGAGAATAAACAAACAGTTAAGTTCTCTCAAACAGAAGCTAATAAGGGTTAAAATATGTGTAAAACATTTCACACAGTTTATCTCACATGGTAAAGGGAAATAATTGTTATTCCTATTCTCGTCAATATTGTGATTCCATAGCCATATGTAAATTGATATTCACTATTAACAAAAGTAAGCCAGCGAAAGCTAGATGTCCAGTACTTTTAATCTATTACATGGGTGTAACATTATCCAGCTCTTAAGAGATTGTTGTTCAGGGAAACGGGTTGTGTAATTTAGCACTGTGCTCAAAGTTTGTGCTTGTTTAATGTTGCCTCAATTGGATATCAGGAGCCAGGTTTTAAAAATGTTCCATTTGCACTCTGGAAGGAAAACTGGGCCCTACTCAGATGGATTATTCTAAAGTTAGCTAGTATGGAACAAGAAAAAGTAGGAGAAATGAGAGATCAGAAGTGATCAGAGCAAATTTTTATCCATTGGTTAGAATCGCCCAATGAGCAGTGAGAAATTGACGCGACGGTCTTCCCTAGTAGGGGTCTTGCTTGTGTCTCCTGTGAACGCCAGCGTTCTGATTCCAGCTCCGTGCCAGGCTCTAGGCTTGTGTCTGCTTCACAGGGGGCCATGACAGATCTATCAAGAAAACAGCAGAGCTGCTCGTGAAAGAGACCATTTGTCCCCTGCAGTTCCTGGAGTAAGATCCATGGAGATCCAGTTTGCTTCTGGCCAAATCCTTGCCCCGAGCCCCACATTAGGAAGAAGGGCAGGAAGAAAGAAGGAAATGCAGACTGGGCAATATTGCATTTCACAAACTAACAGGGATGTGATTTATTTTTTTATTTTTATTATTTTTTAAAAATTTTCTTATTTTTTATTGCGTTTTAGGTTTTGGGGTACATGTGCAGAATATGAAAGATAGTTGCATAGGTGCACACATGGCAGTGGGGATGTGATTTATAAGAAATAGAAACGACCTTTCAAAAACGTTTTGATGGGGATAGAATGTTTCTAAATTCACAGTGTTTGACACATTTCCCCTTCTGCCCATTCTTCTTTTTCTTTCCTCCTCTTTCCCCCCATCTCTCTGATACTTACCCACGAGGTAATAAGCACCAGGTGCCTTTCAATGAAGGGGGAAAGGAAGGTAGAACATGAGGAAGACCTAGATTCTGCCCTCCACATAAATTCACATATTTCATTTTCAGACAGAGATCATGTCTCATTTAGACAGCAGCTCCCTTGGGGGACTGAGATGTTCCTTGTAAGCAACTTTTCCCAATAACTGAAGCTTATCCTATTAAGCCTTGGAAGTTAAAAGAAAAAAAAATTAACTATTTGCAGTGAAAGTTTTAAATAAATCCTTTCCAAGTTTGCAGGTTCTATGAGGGTGGCAGGGCATTCCCTGTGTGCGCTCAGAGTGGGTTTATCCCTGCCTGCTAATGCATTGACCTATTCGGTGCCTATGTGGCACTTCTCAGACATTCTTTCATTAGATGCTCTCTTGCCCTGCCAGGAAGGGCAGACCTGTGATTCAGGCTCAGGTCAGCTTAATTCCAAAGGGTAAACTTTTGACCGCTTCTGGAACCATATAGGACCTTCCTTGGTGCCTGGGAATCCTTCAGAGCCACCATCTTGAAACATGGGGCTCCTCCAGGCCCACATCTGGTGTGGAGGTTTGCCATCTTTCACATTGTTGGGGGCAGTCTGCTGTGTCTACCTCACCTCTTCCCTTCCCTCTTGGGGAATGGAGCATCTGGAGAACCAAATTCATTCAGGATTGACAGCTAGAGATGCACAAGGAGCCAAGGGGCAGAAGGCTTGGTTTTGGTGTGAGAGCTGTGGGGAAGGCCACGTGGGTGTTCTGAATTTCTTTTAATAATCCAGATGTTTTAATTGGGCTTCCCTGTTTCTACAGACCCAGAGATGAAGATGTGAGGGCAAGTAGTTTATTGAGAGGTGATCCCAGGCCACACCAATAGAGGAGTAGGGAAGTGAGGCAGAGGGTTAAGGCAGCGGTAATGGGTGTATCAAAGAGCAGGTTACAACTTGGGGGGATTGGGATACAATCTAAAATAAGTATACCTCTGGGTCATGCCACCCATGAAAGAGGGGGCTGGAATATCCATCAACCAATGCCCACCCATAGTTGGTAGAAGTCTCCAAATGTTCCAGCCAGCCCATATTTCCAGCCAAAGAGAGTCCTCCAGCAGAGGATCTTAGGGGCTTGCTGTAGAAAGCTGCTGCACAAACTAGCAATAATTACGGTAACTACTGTAATAAAAAGAACAGCACCTGCCACTTTTTTTTTTTTTTTTTTTTTCTGTCACCCAGGCTGGAGTGCAGTGGCGTGGTCTTGGCTCACTATAACCTCTACCTCCCAGGTTCAAGCAATTCTCCTGAGTAGCTGGGACTACAGGTGCCTGCCACCACGTCCAGCTAATTTTGTATTTTTAGTAGGGACAGGTTTTACCATGTTAGTCAGGATGGTCTCAATCTCCTGACCTCGTAATCTACCCGCCTCAGCCTTCCAAAATGCTGGGATTATAACCGTGAGCTACCGAGCCGGCTGCTTCTTGAGTTCCTTCTGTGTGCCAGGTATTTGTCCTGGGCACCTTACTTGCATTATATCATTAGTCCTCACTGCAACCCAGAGAGGTACTATGATGGTCCCCACTTTACAGATGGGGAAACTGAGGCTCTGAGTGGATCAGCAATTTGCCCAAGTTATCACAGCCAGGGAGTGGTGATGCCAGGATTTGAATCTCGGTTTGTTCTGTACACTTTCCCCATTTTCCTTTTGGAGGAGAACATTGTATTCTGGAATACTTAGGCTCCCATACATCTCTCATCTGGGAGGTAGAATGTGTTCCTCTCATACGGTAGTTCTCACGTTTCTTGTGCACTTGCTTAAAATTTGCATTCGCAACAGACACGTACTGAATCAGGACCTTGGAGGGTGAGGCCTGGGAATCCAGTTTTGAAGCAGGTGGTCTCCTGGTAAATTATATGCTAGTAGCTCTTTTTTCCATGGGTAGGGAAAAGGAAAAGCCACATTTTGGGAAAAGGGTGAACATTTCCAGCTGGAAAGACAGTTTCCGTTAAGTGTGACATAGTGTGCTTGCAAAGCCTTGCTGTGGTCTCTCTTCCCTCTCTCTCCAGAGTCTATGTAATTTTAGGGCTCGCCTAATCCTGCTGACTCTATTAGCAGATCCTGGATGTGCTGGCTCTCGTTCTTGACATCCGAACCTCCATGCAAGGGTTAAGTGCCTGGGCATGGGAGATATTTCTCTTGGGGTTTTCTGCATGAGCAAGGCTGTGTTTCCACTGCGAATGCTGCCCCCTGAAGCCCCTGGCTAGAAGGAACGGTGTTCTGTCTACCACTCTTGGGACAGAGGTCAAGGAGGGCTTTTCTATTACTGCAAGAGACAAGCAACAAGGGACTCTGGAGAGAAGCAATACCAAGGAGGAGAGCAGGAAACAGGCCAAGGTCGTGGGCAGCTTCACCTATCCTGTCTTCGGTTGGCAGTGGTCTACATGTTATATTAAATTGCATGCCCCTGATTCAAAGTCCTGCCCACGAGATAGAAACAGGGCTTCTTTACATGTGCAAGGCACTCTTCCAGCTGAGTTTATTTGAGAAGACTCATAGGTGGGAGTGTTAGAAAGGAAAAAATTTATTTCTTGAAGTTTCTGGGGAGGAGTTCAGCTATTCCAAGTGCAGAAACTTCTTGGTCCGACTCTCCTGTGACATCAGCAGATTTCTCCCAGCTCCGGGCTTCCCAACAGAAGTCTGACTGTGTCACGGTCCTCGGAAACCTCCAGTGGCTTCACAGCACCTGCAGAATCAAATGCAGGCCCTTGCCGTAGCTGTCGGGGCCCCCTGCCACCCTTCCTTCCTCATATCCCCACCATTTGTGTTGTTCTTATCACTTTAAAAGCCTCGAAGGCTGGGCGCAGTGGCTCGCGCCTATAATCCCAGCACTTTGGGAGGCCGAGGCAGGTGGATCACGAGGTCAAGAGATCGAGACCATCCTGGTCAACGAGGTGAAACCCCACCTCTACTAAAAATACAAAAAAATTAGCTGGGCATGGTGGTGCGCACCTGTAGTCCCAGCTACTCAGGAGGCTGAGGCAGGAGAATTGCTTGAACCCAGAAGGCAGAGGCTGTGGTGAGCCGAGATCGTGCCATTCACTCCAGTCTGGGTAACAACAGCGAAACTCCATCTTGGGGAAAAAAAAAAAAAGCCTCATCGACCTTTAACTTTTGACCCTTGAACTCACCACACTTGTTCTGGCCTCCAAACCTTTGTGCCAGAACTCAACCTCACCTACCCTTGACACCTACCCAAGGACCTCCCTCATACCCCATCATTCCCCAGAAATATTTTTTCATGACCGTATGATCCCTGCAATTATTTGATTTATCTACTTATGCATTTATCATTCCTCCCCAGAAACAGAGAGGCTGCATTTGCCTTGTTCATTGTGTATCTCCAGTACCTGGGGCACTCCAGGCCAAGCTAAGTGTTGAATGAATGAAAGGCTCATTTCACATTTAGCAGAGCTCTGCATAAGGGTTTTGAAGCATCATGAGCTTTCCCTTGGGGACTGGAATCTTTCCCATAAGTCTGAGAGTCTGAGAGTCTTAGAAAAGGCAAAGGCAAAGAAAGCCAGGTCACAGTAACTCAGGATTTGATTATCCTTGTGAAGTGAAGCAGCTGTAGTGGGAAGAGTCAGGTGATATCTTAGGCTTGTCTCAAAGAAGGGCATTTTGACTCTGGTTGTCATAGCTCCCGGGAACCTTCTGCTTTACCCACACCTACCCCAAGGTGCTAAAGCAAAAAGAGGACAAGTTGGGAGGATGTCTAGCATCATGGTTAAAAGTTGGGCTTGGAACGTCTGTCTCTTACTGGCCATTTGACCTTAGGTAAGTTATCCAAATTTGATGAGCCTGAGTTTCTCACTCTGTAAAATGGGACTAACAATAATTGCTCCTTCTTAGGGCTGTTACGAGGATGAAATGAACGATGTAAAGCACTCAGGATATTACCTGACACATCACACATGTTAGCTCTTGTTATTCGAAGCATTCTGCAGCCTTTACGACACTCACGATCTACGGCGCGTCTGAATGGTTTTCAACTGTCTTAGACTTTTCGGGCTGTGTCCTCTTTTCATAGATTCCAAAATGTCTAAGTCAACCTTCCCAGTCTAACTCAGACATCTGTCTAACACTCTGTCATGATTTTATCCATAATTACATATCAGCTCTACTATTTATTTTCTATTTATGGCCTTTTTAAACTTCAATTTATCGAAAGATGAAAATATATCTCATTATCATAAATGAAATCTCAACATCATTTGCCATTACTAGAAGGTGTGTTAGTCTGTTATGCATTGCTATAAAGGAATACCTAGGCTTGGTAATTTATAAAGAAAATAAGTTTCTTTGGCTCACGGTTCTGCAGGCTTTACAAGTATGGCACCAGCATCTTCTTGGCTTCTGGTAAGGCCTTGTAGAAGGAGAAGGGGGAGCAGGGGTGTCACATGGCGAGAGAGGGGGCAAGAGAGATAGAAGGAGGTTTCAGGCTCCTTTACACAATCAGATCTCAGGGTCTCTAACAGAGTGAGAACTTACTCGTTACCATAGGGAAGGCACCAAGCCATTTGTGAAAGATCCGCCCACCTGATTCAAACACCTTCCACTAGGTCCACTTCCAACATTGGAGGTCATGTTTCAACATGAGATTTGGAAGCGACAAATATTCAAACCATCTCGTAAGGCAACCTGGAAAAAATAAATTTTCAAATGGAAAAACTCATTGATAAAACTCCCTGTGGATACTGCTACCTGTTGAAATCTGGGACTGGAGATAGCATGTGTTAGAGACCTTCTCTCTGGTGCCATCAGATTGAAAGAGAATTGGAGAGGGGCTTACACCTCACCATGTGATTCAGCATTGTCTCCTACTGCCTATGTCCCTCCTTACTCCCCTTCTTCACTCTTGCTGGTCCCAGGTCTCACTTTTTCAGAGAGGAATTCAGAGCCCCATCAGATCTGTGAAATACCGAACAAGAGAAAATTGGGGGAAATGTGCACAGATATGCCAAAACAATCAGCTAGGCTGGTGGTTCTCATACCTAAGCATGCATCTGATTCACCTAGAGGGCTTGTTAAGACCCGGAGTGCTGCCTGCTGCAGCCTAGCCTTCAAGTACTGATTCCACAGGTCTGCCATGGGGCCCCAGAAAAGTTCCCAGGAGGTGCTTATGCTGCTGGTCTGAGGATGCTACTTTCAGAAACACTGAATTAGACAAATGGGAGAAATCAATGTCGAGTCTCTGCCTGCATATTTGAACCATTATTTTAAAGAGAACTATCAAATCAGGAAGACAGTAAGGGACAACTGTAAAGTTCCTACTTCTCAGTTTACTGATGTGTCTACTTTCATACTAAATCTCCAAGCAGCCTGAGGGCCACCATCTGGCAAAGATGTTGGCTGCTGGAAGTTCGGCACAAAATGGTAAGAGAATCCAAGGGGATATGAATGGGCCCCTTATGGCACAGTGTGTATCTATCCTATTGACATGAAACTCTAAAAGAAAAGGACAAAGCCAGGCTGCAGTAATTTATGATTTTTATTATCCTTGTGAAGTCAGGCAACTCCAGGGGAAGGAGGAAGTTGTCCTCTTAGGCTTCTCTCAAATGAAGACATTTCACTCTAAACTCTTCAACTTTATGCCTCTAAAACTTAATACCTGGCACCGATTTCATTACAATTGGAAGCCCTTGTTGAATGGTTCCTACAGCTTGAGCCTTTAAGAAAAATGAGCAGCCACCTTTGGGACCACTGACCCAGGTTTTCTGTCAGGGCAAGTCAGTTAATCCCAGTTTTTCCATCTGTAAAATGGTAATGATAATAATGCCCATCTGTAAGGTTGCTATAAAGACTAAATGGCATTCTACAAAATGGGTCTTCGAGTAAATGGAAGATGATGAGGAGAATTGTGATGATGATGATTATTATAAATACAGACTGATGGGAAAAGCATGATATTTGATATTTTTTAAAACATGAAGTCCATGTGGGCAGTGCTAATCAAACAGCTGCCACGTACTCTTGGACCACCTAAGACTGACCTGAGAAAGTGAGATACTGGAAGCCTCTCTCCAGAGTTAATTTTCTGGGTTGCTGAGGATATGCCTTTGCAGTGGCTGTCCCATCTCATCTCACATCTTAATATCCACAGCACCCAGCACTTTCCAGACCATGGGGGTATCCCATCTATCCACTTATCCATCTACCTACCCATCCACCATCCATCCATCCATCCATCCATCCATCCATCCATCCATTATATCCATCCATCCATCCATCCATTATATCCATCCATCCATTATATCCATCCATCCATCCATTCATTATATCCATCCATCCATCCATCCATTCATCCATTATATCCATCCATCTATCCATTTATTTATTCATTCACTTACCCATCTGTCCACACATCACCCATTGATACATCTGTTCATTAATCTCCCACCCATTCATCTATTCATCTATCAACCCATTTACTCACCCACTCATACATTTACCTGTCCATCCACCTACCCATTTATCCATCTATTTATCCATCCATCCATCCATCCATCCATCCATCCATCCATCCATCCAATCTGTTCAGCCACCCATCCATCTATCCACACATCTACCCGTTTATCTACCCCCGACCCATGCATCCATCCATCAGTCCACTCAACCATCCATCTACACACCCATCCATTCCCCATCCATCTACCCATCCATCCATCCATCCATCCATCCACCCACCCACCCACCCACCCACCTATCCACTCACTTAGTCATTCACCTATCCATCTTTCTCTCTTTATCTCTCTCAGGTTAAAGTGCCACAACAAATGCACCAAAGAAGCCCCACCCTGCCATCTCCTGATCATCCATCGAGGAGGTAAGTATTTAACACTTACTGTTCTAGGGGTAGGAGTGAGTCTCCTGCAGGCCCCCAAATAGCTGTCCCACTCAGGTTTGTTCTGAATGCCTCCTGATCTGCACATACTTGCTGCTTTGTTTCTTTCTCTCTGACACCGTTCTTCCTGACATCCGTCTCCTCTGTACTCCCCTATGCGTGTTCTCCTTATTTCTTGCTCCTGTACTGGTTGCTCTGACACTTCTGCCCGTTCTTTCTTCCTGCTCAACCCCTGCTCTCTCATCCTATCTCCTTTCCTAATTTCTAGCCTCTTCTGTTTACCCCAATCCCGTTGCTTTCTTCCCACCAAAAAAGAGCACTGGCTGGGTGTTTTTTCTCTGTGTGTTCTCTAGATTTAATCAATTGGCCTTGCAAAAGTGAGCATGGGGACGGTTATGTCTTGGGCCTATTGGTTTAGGTCATCTGTGTCCCATCTCCTGAGGCCCTAGGACTGTCTGGGCCAACCTGTCCAGGCAGAGAGTTAGCAGCCCTAGGAGAGCCACTACCAGGATTCTACTATGCAAAAGCAAGATGAATCTGGCTGAAGGAAAGACAGATGAAAGGCTTTTCCCTGACTGCCAAGGACTCATAAGGGATACTGCCTTGGGAAGTCTTGTAGTCCAACTTTCAAAATGGTTTCCCTGATCCTTGTCCTATGGGGCGATCACCCCCAAACCCCATTATCCACACTGAAATGTATCCCTGAGGGGCTTTCTGGACCTGTGCTGCCCAATACAGTAGCTACTAGCTACATTTGGCTATTTAAATTTAGATTAATTAAAATCAAATAAAAACACAAAGATAGAGCATTTTATGGATTACAGAAAGTTCTACTGCATGCCATGGGCCAGATCCTTACTATTCAAAGCAATGAACCAGCAGCATCAGGATTGCCTGTGAGCTTGTTAGAAATGCATAGTTTATGGCTCCACCCCAGACCTATGAATCAGAATCTGCATTTTAAACAGGATCTGCAGGGAATTTCTATGCCCCTTAAAGCTGAGAAGCACTGCTCTAGAGCAGGAGTCAGATATAAACTAAGATGTCTATGAGGGCCAAGTAGCTGTCCTAAATGAGAGAAGTTGGCCAGATGGGGCTGTGGCACACTGGAAAACCCAAGTACCATCTGGAAAGGGTAGCCAGCCACTCCAGCTCTGTGGACCTACATTGCCAGCATTTCTGACATTTCCAACAAAAGCCCAAATAGAGAATTTTTGCCATATGCTTATTTTTAAATATAAGCAGTTGATTAAAATATTTCAAACTCTTGCTGGCCACATCCCTAGAAACCTCTCATCGATAGGATGGTTAGAGCCTTTGAATCATCAGGGAGCAACTTTAGGGTACGGCAGCTCACTAATCTGACACTGAGCCCTCTTTCCCTGTCCTCCCACTTTCCCACTCCCATCTCCTCTGGCCTTGATCAGTGCATATTCCTGGGAATCTGCCCTGATTTAGAATGAACCCAAGGGAAACCTAAAGAAGGCAAATTGCTGCTGAAAGCACTGTGATGTGTCCCAAAGCCAACGGGCAGCTGGTTTTCAATGATCTTTGCATTGTTTATCTCCAAAAGCAAGAAAATTGCAAGTGAAGGCAAAGTCTTCAGCTCCTTTCTCTTGCCCTTCCCACTCCACATCCTTAATTGAGAACCATCTGTTCCTTGAATAACTGTATTCACTCAATAAGGCTATTTTAACACCTGAATTCTCACCTCTCTTGAGACCCTGCCTTGGGTCAGCCTCATTGGAAAAATTGCCTCCCACCAGCTTCTCCTATGCAGAGGTTTCTGCTGGAGCCCGGTTCCCACATGACAGAACCAGCCTGCTGGAAGGTACTGGCGCTCAGAGGCTGACATTTGAAGAAGGGCTCCCTCCCACCCACCCTCAAGGCCATGCCACCTTTTGTTCAAAGGTGGCAGGTGTCTGCACATGCAGAGCAAACTGAACTTTGCAGAAATCCACCAGCTTCTTGCTTTTTCTCTCCGTTGGTTGGAAGTTGAAAATACAGTCAGTTTCCATGGTGATGGCAGCTCAGGCTAAGCAGAGAAATGAAATCCCTGGGTCAGTCCGGAGCTTAAACTTCTCAACCAACACCCTCCTCTCAGCACCGCAAAAAAAATAAAATAAAATAAAAATAAAGAAGAAGGAAAAAAAAAAGCAGCTAACAAGTAGCAATAGCAAGCATCAAATTTGATTTTTGAGCTTCTCACTTTTGTCCCTTGCCACATTCCCTGTGAGTAATAGAAATAACAGGAGGGAGAGGGGCTTGGGTGATGTGGTTTAGATCACATAAATAAAAGGAAGCATTTATTTAGCATCCACTATGTGCCCAGCTTCCTGGAACAGCTGTCTTTCTTTCAAGGATACAGGGTTGTTTAGGGCAAAGTGTTTCAATATGCAGCAGGCTGCTTAGGCCTGAGGAATCCCAAAAGGCAGGAAAGACAATCCTAACACAGGTTAGAAAGTTAGGGACAGGGCACTCTGATGAGCTTATCCACTCATCACAGGCCCTGAGAAATCAGAAACCGCGTGTATTTAAAAGGAGTTTTGATTCTGACAATATGAAACAATTACGGTATTTTTAACAACCTGACAGATTTAGTTTTATTTTTATCATCTTAATTGTTAAAAGTCATATATGGACAATAGAAATATTTTACAAACCACAGAAAATACCCTGATCCCACCACTGTGACAAAACGATGATCACTTTTGGTGAATTGTCCTCTAGTCTTGGGCGTGGGCCTACGAGGTGGGATCTGAGCTATGCTCTCCTGGCATAACCAAAGCCAAAGTGATACTTAAATTCCCAAACCATTGTTTTTACCCCTACGGATCCAGCAAGGTTAGTCCGGACAGAGTCCGTTCCATGTGACATCAACAACCCTCTACGGAAGCCACCTCGGTATTCAGACCTACACATCAGTCAGACGCTCCCCAAAACCAACAAAATCAACAAGGTAAGGCTTGGCTTCTGCTGGGTCTGGACATGTGGGGCTACCACTGCTGGGTGAGGGGAAGGAGGGAGGAAGGGTTGATCTGGGAGTATGGCGCCCCCTCCCAGCCCGTCTCGGCTCTCCTAATTCTGTGATGTTTGTGTTGAGTAAAGCTTGAGGGACATCCAGAGATGAGTGGAGAGATTCATGTGCCAGAAATCTAATTTAGAGAGAGGGCATGTTGGAGTGAGAATGGATGAGTGTCCAGGAAGGCACAATGGGGATGGGAAGAGAGACTTAAAAGGAGTTTCCTTCGTGGTCCAGACCTCACTTGCTTTGCTCTGTGAGAGGTTTTGCCATCTGTATTAGTCTGTTTCATGCTGCTGAGAAACATATACCTGAGACTGGGTAATTTATAAAGAAAAAGAGGTTTAATGGACTCACAGTTCCATGTGACTAGGGAGGCCTCACAATCATGGCAGAAGGCAAAAGGCACATCTTACATGGCAGCAGACAAGAGAGTGCTTATGTGGGGAAACTCCCCTCTATAAAACCATCAGATCTTGTGAGACTTAGTCCCTACCACAAGAATAGCACAAGAAAGACCAGCCCCCATGACTCAATTACCTCCCACCAGGTCCCTCCCATGACATGTGGGAATTGTGGGAGCTACAATTCAAGATATTTGAGGACCCAGCCAAACCATAACACCATCTTCCAGGACCAACTTTGCAGATGATTCTGGGCTTTCTGACACATCTGTCCCATCAGACCTAGGAATAGGGGTCTATATCTGAGCTTCTGGTGGAGGCTGGGTGGGTGGGTTTTCTTGGGGGCCTTGATCTCTGAGCAACGGGTAGTTTGGTTGGCTTCTACCCTCAGACAGGTGGTCAGCAGTGGGCCCCTCTGTGCATCTTTCTTTCATTTGTGGCCTGGATATTTCTGGCATGATTTCCACATCCCTTATTTGATCTGCTGATGTGGCTGTACCAAATCTATCCCAGGGACATGTCAAGCCTCACAGCAGGAGGCAAAGGTTGCACACACCAGCAGGTGATTTCCCAAGCATCTCAAAGCTTTCATGCTTTAGGTTGAAAGTAGATGTCTGAGTCCATTTGCATTGCTATAAAGGAATATCTGAGGCTGGGTAATTTATAAAGAAAAATGTTTGTTTGGCTTACAGTTCTGCAGGCTGTACAAGAAGCGTGACACCAGCATCTGCTTCTGGGGATGCCACAGGCTGCTTCCATTCATGTTAGAAAGTGAAGGGGAGCAGACACCACACAGTGAAAGGAAGGAAGGAAGCAAGAGAGAGGGGGAGAGAGAGAGGCAGAGCAGAGAGAGAGGGGGAGAAAAGAGGTGCCAGGCTCTTTTAAACAACCAGCTCTAGGAGGAATTAACTGAGATAGAACTCACTCATTACTGCAAAAGGGGCCAAAGAGGGATCCACCCCTGTGACCCAAACACCTCCAACTAGGCCCCACCTCCAACATGGGGTTCAAATTTAAACATGAGATTTGGAGAAGACAAATATCCTAACTATATCAGCGGAAAAAGTACATCAGCCCAAGGATCAGCAGGTCACTGACCTGTGTCCAGGTCCTAAAGGAGCATGGTGATAGCCAAGTCACCTTTCATTGGCAGGGCACAGAGAGAGGACTGCCCCCTTCCCAATCCATTTCCTGCACAGCAGCCAGGGTGATGCTCAATGAATGTAATTTGAATTATGTCATGCCCTGCTTTAAACCCATCCAATAGCTTTCTGTTGCATCTAGAAAACAAATCAGACTCTACTGTATCCTGAAAGGCCATGCATAATTTGGTCCCTCCTGTACCTCTGACCTCTCCTTCCATGTCTCCCCACAAAGTTCGTGTGTTCCCTTGCTCTTGAGCTATCTCACCTGCCATTTTTATCTCAAAGCCATTTGCCATCTGGCTCCCTGTGGCACCATTTCAGCAGTGGGGTGAAGTTGGCTTCTGGAATCAGAATTGGGCAAGCCTGGCAACCAGCTGTGGCTTTCTGTGCTTACTAGCTATAAGACTGAGCAAGTAACTTAATGTCTCTGAGCCTCAGTTTCCCTGTATGTAAAATGAGGCTGTTCCAGTTATCTACTGCAGCATAACAAGCTACTCAAACTTAGTGGCATATGACAATCATCCGTTTATTATACTCACAGAGTCTGTAGGTCAGGAATTAGGACAGAGAGCAGAGGCAATGGTTTGTCTCTGCTCCACCATGGGAATCAACTGGAAAGACTCATACAGATAAGGGCTGGAGTCATCTAAAACAGGGATTGGAAAACTATGGCCCACAGGCCAAATCCAGCCCACCATCTATTTTTGTAAATAAAATTTTATTGGAACACAGGCAAACCCTTATTTCTGTGGCTGCTTTTATGCTATAATGTCAGAGTTGAATAGTCGTGACAGAGACTGCACGGCCTGCAAACCCTAAAATATTTACTGTCAGATTCTTTACAGAAAAGGTTTTCTGACCCCTGATTTAGAGGCTCTTTCACTCCATGCCTGGTGCCTGGGCTGGGTTGAGTAGAAGCCTGGGTTCAGCAGAGATGTCAACTAGAGCACCTGTATGTGGACTTGCTGTAATGCTTGGGTGTCCTCACAATATGGCTGCCTCAGGGCAGCTCATGGCTCAAAAAGCAACTGAATTAGCAAACAAGGTGGAACTTTGACTGTGTCACTTCTGTGCACGTTACTGATGGAAGCAGTCACAAGCCTGTTAAGATTCAAAGGGAAGAAATACAGACCTCAACTCTTAGTGGGAAGAGTCCACAGATTTGTAGTCATGTTTCAAAGTGCCCGTGGTGGGCAATAAGAACACCAACCTCAGACAGTTGTTGTGAGGTTAGAATTCAACAATGAACATTCAGTGTACTTCCTGGCCCATTGTTAAGATCCAGGAAATTCTAGCTATTATTATCAGCTTAGATTTTGGGGCCTCTGATCAAAACATTGGGCTAGGTCCACTTTTCCTTCGTTATTTGCAAAAGATGTAGATCTCTAGGAGAGGGGATCCCCACTGCTGGGAGGGCTGAGCAAGTTCAAATGGTAAGGCTCCTGGGAAGTAAAATAACTGTATATCCCTTATAACCCCTTCTTTCCTTTGTGACATTTTGAGGGGCAAGGAGCTCAGAACCACCTTGAGACCTTTCTCTCTGGCTTTACAGATACAATGAGCCTCCTGGTGTCAGATGAGACTAAAACATAGGTCAGATAGATCAGTGGCTGTGACATTGTTCTGCTTGTCAGCCAGCAGGAGAATTTGATAAGGGAAATAAATTAACCTATATTAAGAAAGCGGCTTTGACATGAAGGTGGACAGGATCTATCATAGGGCTGGGTTATTTTTTCCCCATTTCTCTTCTCACTGGCTTCACACAGATTCTTCTTGTCAGGCAATTATGTGGTTAGTGCAATAAATTTCTGAGCCAATTTGGTCCGAAGATTTTTTTTTAATGCTCTTTGTCTTGTCTCCTGTCTAGTTCAGTCAGTCCAGGTTCACAAAGGCCTTGCTTTTTCACCTAGCACAGTGGTTAGAGTGTAGATTTTGGAGTCAGGAAGTCTGAGCTTGCAACTCAGCTCTTTAACTTGCTGTGTGACTGTGGGCCACTTATCTCAAGATCTGTCTACCTGAGTTTTCCTTTCTGTAGAATAGACAAAATAGGAGGTATTATTGGGGTTGCAGAGAGGATTACGTGTATCATACATATAAAGGATTTAGTCTAACACCGAATACTCAGGGCATGGAAGTAGCTTGATAATAAGGAAGACAGAGAAGGAGAAGGAAGAGGCAGAAGGAATAGGAAGAAGGAAGGAGGAAGAGGAAGAGAAGGAGAAAAAAGAAGGAACAAGAGGAAGACCGAGTGGGGGTGGATGAGGAGAATGGGGGAAGCGGAAGGAGGAGAAGCAGAAGCAATAGCATCTGCCAATTCCTATGGGACCAATCTACAACCCTTGAACTTACACATCAAGACATCAAAAATACCATCTGCAGTAGTGGCACAGGCTGAATCTCTGCCTGCTGTAGTCAAGCTGTTTGAAGTGGCTGCATGCTGGCTTGCTTTTTTTGGTTGGCTGCAAGGTACAGAGACCCGCCTAGGCTGGCTCAGCAAAATGAGTTGTCTTTTGTAAAGGATGGACATGGAGCAATTCAGAGAAAGGGAAATCATCATTTAGGAGTTGGGCCTCATGGAACTTGACATAGAGGATGGTCTTGAGCTCAATCCAGCTCCGTGGACCCAAAGCAAGCCCATGGACCATTGTTCTGGTCTTCCATCATGACCCTGACACAGCTACTCTTTGTGGGTCTGCTCTGATGTGTTGTTACTACTGGCAGCTTCCTCATCTTCTACTTTTGTCTTTCTTTTCTCTATCACTGCTTCTGCCTCCATATAGTTCCTACTCCTTATGACCTTTGGTTTCTTTGTGTCCTGGCCTGTTGTGGCTCCCCTATTCTCTTTGAACCTCATCTAATCTCAGCCTTTGCTCCTAATACTCTCTGCTCTTCTTCCTAATGTCCTATCTCATCATTCCATCCCATATTATAGGTCACTGGTCAGCTGCCATTATGCTCTGGCCTATGGTCCTGTGTTGGGAGTGGGTTATGGAGGTCACAATACACAAGTGTCTGTTTAGGACAGTCCATTGAACAAAGGATGTTGGGTTGAAGGGTGAAGACAGTTTCTTTAGAAAGTGTCCATGGGTCCATGGGAGAACAGTGACCATCACCGCCATGTCCAAATCAGTGCTCAGCTGGGTGAAGTGGGAACTTGGGTGATGAACATGCTTCTATTTGATTTCCAGAGTCAGATGTGAATTTCTTATTACTTGGCACAACCTTGTGTTTCTGCTCCTGAGCACTTGGGACTGGGCCACTAATGCCCTGTGTGACTCCAGGAGGCCACTCCCCCCACCTCAGAGTCTCAGCGTGTAGAATGAAGTAGTTGGACTGGATGGTCGCTGATGGATGTTTCCAGCTCTCATCTATGTTCAGAAAGAGGAATTATGCCATTAGCCTTTCCCTGCCTGATCTGGTAGAGTTTAATAAGTTTCCTTCTAATGGAACACAACCACCAGCTGCTGGTCCCATTCAGACACAGATCTGGGTTTAACCTGCAGAAGGGATTTTCTCTCCTATTGCAACAATTCTGCCAGGAAAAGTGAGTACAATATGTATTAATCAGCCTGTCCTCAAAGAGATAGAGATAAGTCCTTTTACCATAAAGACAATTTACCCTCCTCCTCTCCCTCTTTCCCTCTATCCTTTCTTCCTTTCAATTGCTTAGTTGATTCATTCATCTGTATAACATTCATTAGCTACGTCCTATGTTTTTGTTTCTGTGCTTAGTTTTGCAGATTCTAAGATGAATCAGTAACAGTCTAGTGGGAGGAAATAGACCTTCCTCCTCCATTTCTCTCTCCTTCTCTTCATCCATACAACCCTTCCTCTTTTCATTTCTTCCTTTCTTTTTTCCTTCATCCAGCACACATTTATTGAGGGGCCCACCCCCACAATTGAAAACCCACATATAACTGTTGATGCCCCAAAAACTTAACTACTAATAGTCCACTTGATCACAAGCCTTACCAATAACACAAAGAGTTTATTTACATGTATTTTCTATGTTCTATGTCTTATATGCTGCATTCTTACAAAAGTAAGCTAAAGAAAAGAAAATGTTATTAAGAAAATTCTAAGGAAGAAAATACATACTTACTATTCATTATGTGGAAACAGATCATCATTAAGGTCTTCATCCTTGTCATCTTCATGTTCAGTAGGCTGAGGAAAAGGAGGAAGAGGAGGGGTTGGTCTTGCTGTCTGAGAAGTGGCAGAGGTGGAAGAAAATTCATATGTAAGTGGACCAGTGCAGTGCAAATCTGGGTTGTTCAAGGGTCAACTATACAGCTAAAAACAACAGACATTGTATGTAAAATAAACATAAGATGGTAAGAAGGAGGAAGACCAGCTAGGGACCCAAGCAATGACACAGTGATGAGTTTCCTGAGACTTAGCTTCATATATCCCAGACTGAGAACTGAAGAAGCTGGCAACCTGGATGTGTCAATAGATTTAAACAAACAAAAAAAAAAGAGCCCTAACAAAAGCCTGCCCCATCTAGTCAAAGGCCCAGGAAAGGGACAACTTAGCAAGAAAACTTTTACCCAATAACCATCCTATTCCAGCCAAACACCACAGAAAAATCTGTTTTCTTACCCACCCATACCAGGAAAGACCAAGTAGGGAGTCTAGACTTCCATCTTTTGTCAAACTGAATGAAACCTGCCATCCCAGTCCTCCTGCCAGGCTGGGGTTGGAGAAGGTTGAGTAGGGACTGTCACCCCAGCTGGTAATGAACGCTCCCCTCACCCAGCAGTAATGCAGCACTCCTTCCCACACCTGCTGAGGTGGATTCAAGGAGACCTGCACTCAGGGCTTTTACCACCACCACCATTAACAAGTCTGCTCCCTGCTTTTTGGCGTTCTTACCCCTCCCAGCAAGAGTGGTATCAGTAGAGGCCTGTGGGGGAGCTGGATTTCAGTCTCTTCCCAGCAATAATGAGGAACTCTTCCCCTCTTCAGGGGCCAACAGAAGCTGAATGGAGAACTTGGACTTCTACCCATCCCTGGCAATAACAAGGCAGTAACTCCCCTTTCTCTGCTAGAGCAGTGTCACAAGAATCCTGCAAAAACAAAAGGTTTAAATAAGATCCAGAGTCTCACAACATAATACTCAAGTGTTCAGGCTTCAATTGAAAATTACTTGTCATACCAAGAAGCAGAAAGATCTCAAGCTGAATGGAAAAAGAAAGACAATCAATAGAAGCCAATGCTGAGATGACTGGGATTTTAGAATTATCTGATGACACTTTTAAAGCATTCATAATAAAAATACTTCAATAAGCAATTATGAACATTCTTGAGACTAATGAAATATAAGAAGTCCCTGAAAAGAAACAAAGTGTCAGCAAAGAATCAGAAGATAAAAAGAAGAAGCATTTAGAAAATTTAGAACATACAATTAGAAAATATGGTAACCAAATAAAAAATTCAATGGACGGGCTGGGTGCCGTGTCTCATGCCTGTAATCCCTGCACTTTGGGAGGCCGAGGCAGGCAGATTATGAGGTCAAGATATTGAGACCATCTTGGCCAACATGGTGAAACACTGTCTCTACTAAAAATACAAAAAAAAAAAAAAAAAAAAAATCACCGGGCATGGTGGCACATGCCTATAGTCCCAGCTTTTCAGGAGGCCGAGGTAGGAGATTCCCTTGAACCCAGGAGGTGGAGGTTGCAATGAGCTGAGATCATGCCACTGCACTCCATCCTGGTGACAGAGTGAGACTGCATCTTAAAAAACAAAGAAACTTTTTTTTTTTTAAATGGATGGACTCAACAAGATGGATGGGACAGAGGAAAGAATTTGTGAACTTGAAGATAGAGTGATAGAAATTACAGTCTGGATAACAGAAATAAAATGGCCTGAGCAGAGGATCAAGGACCCTTGGGGATTATAATAAAAAATCTAACATTGGTGTCATTGGTGTCCTGAAAGGAGAGAAGAGAAGAAAGAGGTCAGAGCTGAAAATGTTCTTAAAGAAATAATGGTTGAAAACTTCTCAAACCGAGCAAAAGACATAAACCTACAGATTAAAGAATCTCAGAAAACACCAAAGAAGACCAACTCAAAGAAATCCATGGTAAGATACATCATTTCAAACTTCTGAAAACTGAAGAAGACAGACAAAAGCATCTTGAAAGCAACAACAGAGAAACAATACTTTACCTATGGAAGAAACCATTCAAATGACAACAAATTTCTCATCAGAAACCATGGAGACCAGAAGAAAGTGGCACAGCATTTTTTTCAAGTGCTGAAAGAAAAGTTTTTAATTCAGATTTCCAGCTCTTCTCAGCCTCAGAATATCATCTGTAAGTTGGAGATAATAATGCTATTTTGTAGGGTGGCTATAAAAGGCAGTGTATATACAAACCACTACCTAGTTTCCAACATATACAGTGTAGATATTCAATACATTTAGCTACTGTTTTATTATTTATTGATCAGATCAAACATTCTGTAGCTTCTTTTTCCCCTCCCATCCTCTCAAGCCTTATGGTCACGTCTTCCTTCGTTTTATACTGCCAACATTACAACAGTCAATGCCTTCTGAAAGTACTTGCCTAGTTGCATAGAAATCTTTCCACCTAAAGAACATCTCAAACGTGCATGTTCAGCTAATAACACTGCATTAATAATTTTTAAAACATAGCTAAAATACAACTCCTTAAAAATAATAAGGTACTGGGTTTACTACCTGCATGATATAAAATATGTACAACAAATCCCTATGACACATGTTTATCTATGTAACAACAAACTTTCACATGTACCCCCAAAGCTAAAATAAAAATTACAACAAAACAAAAACAAACAAAAAAAAGTGAAAGAGAAATTAGGGCATTGTCAGATGAAGGAAAACTGAGACTATTTGTCAGAAGTATATATATCCTGAAAGAATAACTAAAAAGTGTTTTTTTAAACAGAAAAGAAGTAACAAAGAATCTTGGATAATCAGGAAACAATAAAAAGTAAAAATACAAATAGATACAATAATACATATACCTTCTCCTCTTCAATTTTCTAAATTTTGTTTGAGAGTTGAAGCAAAAATTATAACACTTTCTGATGTCCGTTATTCAAGGGGAAGGGTAAAGGACATAAAGAAACACTTCACGCAAACTGGTAAAATGTCTACACCAGTAGACTACCATAAGTTAGGTATATATAATATAATACACAGAGCAGCCATTTTAAAAGGTATGCAAGGAAATACACTAAAAAATACCCTATGTCAAGATGAAACTCTAAAAAATGTTTAACTCACAGGGAGGCAGGAAAAATAAAACAGATATTAAAAATGAAATTGGCAAACCTGTAGCAAGACCAACAAGAGAAAACTCTAGTTACAATGATTAGGAATGAGATGGGACATCACTACAGACCCTGCAGTCATCAAATGGATAAAAAGAGAACATACAGACAATGCTACACACATACATTTTATAGCTTAGATGAAATAAACCAGTTTCTTGAAAATCGCAAACTGCCACAACTCACCCAATATGAAACGTATAATTTGCATAGCCCTGTAAACGTTAAAGAAACTGAATTTGTAATTTTAAAATTATCATACTCTAAAAAAAGAAATCTCCAGATGGTGTCACTGGAGAGTACTACCAAATATCTAAAGAAGAATTAACACCAACTGTACATAATCTCTTCCAGAAACAGAAGAGTATATTTTCCAATTCATGATATATACCCACATTACCCTGGTACTAAAGCCAGAGTACAAAAAAGGAAAACTATAGACTAATATTATTTATTAATATGGATGTAAAAATACTTAACAAAATATTTAGAAAATAGAGTTCAGCAATGTATAAAAGTGGAGTTTATTTCAGGAACAAAAGATTGGCTCAGTATCTGAAAAATGAATTAACATAATTCACCACATTAACAAGCTAAGAATAACAAATAACGTGGTTATACCAACTGATACAAAAATTGTTTAACAAAATTCAACAACCATTCATGATAGAAATCAGGAAAAAAATGAGGAAATTTGTCAACTTTGTAAAAAACACCTAAAATAATACTGCAGCTAACATTATACTTGGTGATGAAAAAAATGAATGTTTTCCCCTAAGACTGGGAACAAGCTAGGACGCCCACTCTCACCATTCTTATTCCACATAGTGCTAGAAGTTCTGGCCAATGCAGTAAGGCAAGAAAAGGAAACAAGACATGCAGATTGGAAAGGGAGAAATAAAAGTGTCCTTATTTGCAAATGACATTGTTATCTACATAGACGATCCCAAAGAAAATGCAAAAATCCCAAAGAATATATATATATATATATATTTAAAGTTCTTATAATTAGTGAATTCAGCAAGGTCACAGAATACAAGATCAATACAAATCAGTTATGTTTCTCTATAGTAGCAATTAACATATGGAAACCTAAATTAGAAACAAGCCATTTACAATTGCCGAACAAATGGAAATACTTTGGTGTATATCTGACAAAACATGTATAGGGCTTGTATGCTGAAAACTACAAAATGCTGGTAAAAGGAAACAAAGATCAAAATAAATGGAAACAGATACCACTATGGGTTGGACTGTATTCTCCACAAAGATATGCTAAAGTCCTAACCCACAGGACCTGTGAATGTGATCTTTGGAAATAGGAACTTTGTAGATATAATCAAGTTTAGATGAGGGTATACTGGAAGGGTGGTTCCTTAATTCAATGTGACTTTCATCCTTAAGAGGAGAAGAGAAACGGGGACACACAGGGAGAGCACCATGTGACAACAAAGGCAGAAGGTAGAGTGATACAACTGCAAACTAAGTAATGACAAGGATTGCTGGCCACCACCGGAAGGTAGGAAGAGGCAAAGAAGGATTCTACCCAAAGTCTCAGAGGGATCCTGAGACACAGCCTTGACAGTACTTTGACTGGGAACTTTTGGCCTCCAGACCTGTGAGAAAATAAATGTCCATTGTTTTAAGCTACTCAGTTAATGGTACTTTGTTACAACAGACCTAGGAAACTGATACACATACCATGTTCATGGATTGGAAGATTCAACATAGTTAAGAAGTCAGTTCTCCCAAAAATCCATATATAGGTTTAACACAATTTGTATCAAGAATGCAGCAAGATTATTTTTATAAATAAAGACATGATTATTCTAACAGTTATGTGAAAAGGCAAAGGAACTAGAATATCTACAATCACTTTATTCTTTTGAAAAATAATAAAGTGAGAGCAATCAGTCTACCTGATCTCAAGACTTATTATGTAGCTAGAGTAATCAAGACCAAAAAGGATATACAGATGGCAAGTAAAACACATGAAAGTATGTTCAATATCTTAGCCATTAGGTAATGCAAATTAAAGCTGCAATGGTATATCACTACACTCCAATTAAAATAGCTAAAATAATAAATAGTGACACCACCAAACACTGGCTAAGATGCAGAGAAAAGTCAATCATTCCTACACTGCTGATGTAAAATGGTGCAGCCACTCTAGCGAACAGTTTTTGTGTTTTCTTTTAAAACTAAACATATTACTATATTATCCAGAAACTGTACTTCTGAGCATTTATTCCAGAGAAATAAAAATGTATGTTCATATAAATCCTGTAAATAAATGTTTATAGCAGCTTTATCCACAATAGTGAAAAATATAGAACAACTTAGATGTCCTTCAGTGGGTAGATGGTTAAGCAAACTCTGGTACATCCATATCATAGAGTACTACTCAGCAATCAAGAGGAAGAAACCATTGATACATGCAACAATTTGGATGAGTCTATGGAGAATTATTCCGAGTGAAAAAAGTCAATCTGAAAAGGTTACATACTGAATGATTCCACTGATAAAAGGATGAAATGATAAAATTATAGAAATGGAGAATAGAGCTAGGCACAGTGGTGCACAACCCTAATCCCAGCTACTTGTTGAGGCTGAGGCAATGGGATTGCTTGAGCCCAGGAATTTGAGACCAGCCTGGGCAATATAGCAAGATTCTATCTCAAAAAAACAAAAACAGAAACCACACATAGCTAGTGTTTATTATGCTGGACAGATATGCAGAACAGATTAGAGGTGCCAGGGGTTAAAGATTAGGGGAGAATGGTGAGGAGAGAGCAGGAAAATGGGCATGGCTATAAACGGGCAACATGAGGGATCTTCATTTTGATGGATCTGTTCTGTATCTTGACTGTATCAGTTCAGTATCTGGGTTGTGATATTGTACTGTAGTTTCATAAGATGTTATCAGTAGAGAAAACTGAGTAAAGGAAACATAAGATTTCTCTCTTCTTACAACTACATGTGAATCCACAATGATCTCAAAATACAAAGTTTAATTACTGTCATTAACATAATCACTACCATTTACTGATGACAGACTGCCTCTACCCAGTACAAAGGAGGTAGGTAGATATATAACTCCTTTCAACTTCACCGCAGAACTACAAGCTGGATGTTCTTAGCCCACGTTAAGGATAGCGAGGCTGAGCACATTGGCTCACACCTGTAATCCCACCACTTTGGGAGGCCAAGGGAGGAGGATCCCATGAGCCTAAGAGTTTGAAACTAGCCTGAGTCACATAGTGGGACCCTGTCTCTACAAAAAAAGGTCTTTAAAGCTGGGCATGATGGTGTATGCCTGTGTCCCAGCTACTGAGGATGCTAAGGTGAGAGGAACATTTGAGTCCAAGAGGCTGAAGGTGCAGTGAGCTGTGGTCGTGCCATTACCCTCCAGCCCAGGCTTCAGAGTGAGAACACATCTAAAATAAATAACTAAATAAATAAATAAGGAGAGACTCACTGACCCAGAAGCAGTATGAACCTAGTGGCAGTGGAGTGGGCTTTGGTAGGATGAAACGTACAACCTAGCTGGCCACTCAGTAAGCGTCTGGACAGAGAATGTTCATTTCCCCTTCTGCCCTTGACCTCCTGTGCCGGTGGGTGTCTCCACACCTACTCTTGGAGTTGATAGATAAGCATACCTGCTGACCACACTAAACCATTTTTGGGCACCTGGACCACTTGAGGAGTGGACCTCTGAGTAATAGAGGGATCAAGTGGCCACTGTCCTGTGGGTGAAGAGATGAAGGCTCCCCTGGGAACACTTAGCTCTCGTGGCTTTGAGAGGCAAGAATCCCTTTTAAGTGATGTGGACGTTTGCCGCTTTTGTTCATCTCTTGCCATCTGTTGAAAGCAAAATGTCCCAAAGAGGTGAAATGCTTTCCAAGCTTCACGCAGCACCAATCTATCCCTTTTCAGGAGAACACGCCTGCAAATGCATACAGCTACTCTTCCTCCCTGCCTGCCTCCCTCCCTCCTGTGCCTCCACGTCATTTAATCTTCACGTAGCCCTGTGCACTTGATGTTATCATTATTCCCATTTTACAGAGGACAGAGCCGAGGAATGGAAAGGTTGAGCACTTTGCCCAGGATGCACAGAAAAGAGGTGGCTGTGGGATGTGAGTCCAGGTTTTCCTGACTGGATCCTGCTATTGATTTCCTGGTACTGCTATAACAAATGAGCTGGGTGGCTGAAACAACAGAAATTTATTGTCACATAGTACTAGAGGCCAGAAATTCAATGTCAAGATGCCAGCAGGATTGCCTTCTAGAGGCTCTGAAGGACATTCTGTTCCATGCTTCTCTCCCAGCCTCTGGTGGCCCTGGCAGTCCTTGGCTTGTGGCTGCATCAGTCCAATCTCTCCCTCCGTCTTCATGTGACTTTCCTCCCCATGTGTCTTTCCCCCTCCCCCTATCTTTTATAAGGATATTTGTCATTGGATTTAGGACTTGCCCAAATCCAGGATTATCTCACTCAGGACCCTTACTTCAAATTACATCTGCAAAGACCCTATATTCCAAATAAGATTAGATTCAGAGGTCCCGGGTGGACGTCTTTTGGGGTTTGCTGTTCAACTCTCTGCCCTGCTCAGAATTCCACCTCAGTAGGTTATTCCAAAAATGCACAGATGGATTCTATCTCCATCCTTGTTTTTGAGCTGGTCCGGGGTGAGGAGAGGCTGAGCTGATTCCAGCTGTGACCCGAGCTAAGACACTGAAGGCTCACTCTCACATTCTCTCTGAAGCTGTCAGGCTGTTGGTTCTTTGATAAACACTTGGGAGGAGAGGTGTTGGGATGGGAGGGGTACCCTGGACACCTCTGCATGGGGTTTTTCAGAATCAAAGAGGCACAGGGTGCGCGGCTGTCACCTGTGTGGTTTTCATTATGCAGTCAACCTTTCACTCTGGAGTCCAAGCAGTGGACAGGAAATTGACTCCAGAGGCTGTTCTTTCCACAGCTGGATGCAGCCCAGAGGGCGGATGAAGGAGGAGGAACTGTAGAAGGGTCTGGTGGTTGAGGAAAGGGCAAGGGTTGTTGTGGGGGCTGGGGTGGGGACCTCCCCTGCTCAGCCCACTCTTTCTGCTGTGTCTCGGGCTTCCCTGCCTGTCCCTGACTCCTGCCCTGTTTTCTCTCTGCAGGACCACATCCCCGTCCCTTACCAGCCAGACTCCAGCAGCAACCCCTCCTCCACGACGTCCTCCACGCCCTCCTCGCCAGCACCCCCCCTCCCTCCTAGCGCCACACCGCCTTCTCCCCTACACCCTTCCCCACAGTGCACACGGCAGCAGAAGAACTTCAACCTGCCAGGTACCTCCATGCTTGGGGAGACATGGGGTCTGCAGCATTGGAGGGGCAGAGATGGGGGGGTTCACTCCGGAGCCCTGATGCAGCAAGTCTATGCTGGAAGGTAATGGCTCCATGACCAGAGAGGGGCAAGGAAGGACATGGGTCAACCCTGATTGTGTCCTAAGCAATTATCCCATATCACGTATTTAATCTTTGGAACAGCCATAAGGTAAGCATTATCAGCTCATTTCACAGATGAAGAAACAGAGGCTCAAAGAGATGCAGGAACTCCTAGAGACTCTGTCTTTTGGCAAGGCACACCTCATGGTCTTTGCCTAAGTCTAAGTCACAGAAGGGAGCCACTGGCTCTGGAACTGACAGTTGTCTTATGAGCTAAATTGGTTAAAATTGGTATCGAGAGTCTGTGCTGGAGGTCTTAGGGGCACACATCTGAGCAGGGCTGCAGATTGAGTTTTAACTCAGATGTCAGGATGGGTCTATGACTGAGTGGTTTGGACTCCTGGAGTCAAGCTCCAGGTCTATTGCATTCTTGCTGTGTCTCACCTCTGAAAAGATGTAGGTGGTTGAACAAGATGATCTGGAAGGTTCCTCTAGCTTAGGAATTCCAGGGCGCCTAGGCTGTTGACCAGGGAGTATGCACTGAGCTATGAGATGATAGTAGAGAAGCCACTCATGGGACACTGTGGCTTCTTGGCCTCCTTCATCATTAGACCTAAGAATGGGACATTGTTCTTCCTTCAGGTAGACCAGACCTAAGAATCTCCCCATCTCTTCCCGGGTCCAGCCTAGCCCAATTTCCTGTGCTAGGGCCCTAAGAATGTTTCCAACTCAGCCATATTTGTGTCACTGCAGCAGACTTCAAGAAGAAGGCAGTGGGACTGGTGTGGCCACTTGGAACCAGGTGTTGTTCAATATGGTATCCACTAGCCATGTGTGGCTATTTGCATTTAAATGCACTAAAATTAAATGTCATTTAAAAATTAGTTTATCAGTTGCACTAGCCACATTTCAAGGGCTCAGTAGCCACATGTGGCTGGTGGCTGCCATACTAAATGGCTCAGGTATAGAACATTTCCATTACCACCAAACGTTCCACTGGATGCCCTGGCCTAGTGTCTGATTTCCTCCTGAGTCAACGAGCTTCACGCCATGAAAAAAATCCCAGGCTCCTGGGTTAAAGCTTAACCAAACATGAGTGAATGGCCAGGAGGCAAATGGAGGTCCCGCCCCACACCTGGGCAGCACCCACGTGCCACCACCCATCTGAGGACAAGCCAATCACAGCACCTGCCCACACTGTTTTGATTTGGGCCATGTCCACAGAGATGGGGGATATTTTGAATTCTTGGAACTCTGGGTTTTTTGTTAAGTTCAAGTCTGAATTTAACAGCCTTATATCCACCTAGTGCGAGGGCCACTCACCTGGCAGCCACCAAGGACTGCAACACGAGTCACTGGCTGCATTGCCTTAGTAAGCGCCACCAATTCATTGCCCGGCATTTTCACAGACAGAAGACCCCCACCGCCATCTCCAGGGTTGTTCATTTTTACTTCTTCAGAAGGGGATGAAGGGACTAAAAAGACCCTTAGACATCCCACAACCACCCACACTTGGAGGAGGTTGGCTCATGCTTTCCAACAGCTACTTCACTCTCTGGAAACATTGATTTTAGGAGTATTTTCTCTAAAATTGTTTGGCACTTGTTTATGGACCAAGGGATGGGGAAGAGCCGTTTTATGGGAGAACTATGCACAAAAACACCACAGCTCTTTTCACTCCTTAAAGAATCTGCTGGCATCTTCAGATGAGAGATCTGCCTAGCCAGGTATAATCAGGGTAGCCCTTAGCTCCTTCCTTCCCTCAGCCAGAGCCTTCAAGGAGGGGGGCTTGACAATTTGCTGTGCTAGCGTGCCAACTTATCCCCTCCTGCTCCATGACAGGTCGTGACAAGGTCCTGGATCTCTTTGGGGACTGGGCTAAGGGGTCCTTTGGGGAAAAGCACTTTGGCATGGCAGTAAGAGTGTGGGCTCTGCAGCCAAGCTGTTTAGATTCAAATCTGAGTTTTACCACTTAATGTCTGTCTGATGTTGGGCAAATAACTTGCCTCTCTGGGCCTCAGTGTTCTCATCTACAAAATGGAGATAATAGTAGTATGCACCTTAGATAATTGGTTTTAGAAAGAAATGTCATAATATATGGATGAAGCTTAGTAGAGTGACAGTCTCATTGAAGGTCTCAACAAGTCTGAGCTCCCTGCATTATTATGAAACACAATCGTAATAAACCACACTGGCTGCCTTTATGTGCACTTCTTGTCATCACTGCTAATTAATGTGGGGGCCTGGACAGAATTGCAGAATGAAAGATGAAATCCCCATATGTCTTCACATAGGAGTATGAACATAACTAAACATTTGGGGAAGGTAATTTGGCATTTTCTGTTAAAGTTTTTATTTTTGTTGTTTGTTTTTTTGAGATGGAGTCTCGCTCTGCTGCCAAGGCTGGAGTGCAGTGGCTCACCGCAATCTCCATCTCCCGGGTACAGGCAATTCTGCTGTCTCAGCCTCCTGAGTAGCTGGGACTACAGGTGTGTGCCAACATGCCCAGCTAATTTTTGTATTTTTAGTAGAGATGGGGTTTCACCATATCGGTCAGGCTGGTCTTGAACTCCTGACCTCAGGTGATTCATCCACCTTGGCCTCCCAAAGTGCTGGATTACAGGCGGGAGCCACCACGCCCAGCCCTGTTAAAGTTTTAAATGTGCATTCCTTTGACCATTATAACACTTCTAGGAATTTATATGCAGGAACACTTGCACTAGGGTGCAGAGATGTGTGTATAAGGACATCATTGTAACAGTGAAAATGGAAATTAACCCAAATGCCCATCAAGAGGTGAATGGTTGAATACACACATATATCTGTATAACCAAATAGTCTGCAAACTTTTGAAAGAATGTAGTACTCTCTATAGATTTCCTGACATGGAAAGACATCCATAATGTTTCTTAAGTAGAAAATAAGTGATTTGCAAAGTCGTCAGTATAACATTCTATTTATTGTAAAATATTTACATATATGTATGTATGTGTACCAGTGTGTGTATGTGTTCACATGTGCGCAATAAAGTCTGTAAGAGCTTCATGGCAGTTGTTGAGGAGAGGGACTTTATCTTAGGCACTGCTACAATGTCTATGAGTGCGCATCCATTTTAGAATCGAATAATAATAAAATTCAGGGCTGAAATGGAAAACAAAATAGAGCCTTTTGGAAGCGCAGTTGGATCTACCCCCAGGGACATGAGTCCCAGTCTTGACTGAGAGCTTCTGTTGATGAAAAATGGAGCTTTGGTTGTGGGTCCCAGCCAGATGTTGAGTTTTCTGAAGGTTATTTAAGCTAAAGCCTAGGCATAATGATGTCTCCAGCACTGAATCATCTAGAACATTCTTGTCTAAAAGGGGCTGGGGGTTGACCAGCCATTTGACTCATCTGTTAGCCTCAGGACATGCGGTAAAAATGCTATTAGAACCACAAGCGTGGCGTGTGCAGCGTGGTATTCGTGACTGTGAGCTGCCAGTTGGGTGGAACTCCTGTTCTCTACCTTTCCCTGAGTCCTGGGGCAGTGTGGGACATGGCCCAGTATAAGGTGGCATCAAGAGTGCTGCATGGATAGACATACCTGGGGTTGGATCCCAGCTTTGCTTCTTCCTAACTGTGCAGTTTTGAACATGGCATTGCCTCTGTTTAGCTCTCTTTCTCATCAGTAACAAGGGGCTAACAATTCAGAGTTGTGGTTACATCCACCATGGCAAGACAGATGAAGAGGCTTTGGGAATGGTTGTCTTACGGGTTTCTGAGGATGGAGTGTTCAAATACCTTCTTTCTTTGGAGCCACCTAGAGCCATCTTGAAACACACACACACACACACCCCAACTGCAGGAAATGGCATATTCTAATGGCTCAAATGAAGAAAGGAGGTGAAATCTGCCTTTAGTGGAGTTTGCAGGACTTCTGAGCCCTCACTTGTGCCACTTGGGCTCATGAGAGTATTTCCTCCCTTCCCCTTTCCATCAGTCTGTCCCAAGTCCCTCTTTTATGCTCATCACTCTGTGCCATGATCTGGTTTACATACTCACTTGTTAAGTGTTTCCTCCATCAGAATGCGAGCTCCATGAGACCAGGCAGTGTGCCTTCATTCACCAATCCATGCTCAAAACCCAACGCATTGCCTGCAACTGAAGGCACTCATTAAGTGCTTGTCAAATGAATGACCTGAATTTCATGCACCGCCCAAGGCTGCAGTTTTCTCTCTTTAATTTTTCTTCTTGGCCTTCAGACTGCATTCATCCATTCATTTCATTAACGGTATTTATTAAGCACCTACTGTGTACCAGCTACTGTACTAGGCACTAGATTTGGAGCAGCGAACAAACCAGATATGTCCCCTGTATTTACTTCCTATTGTTATTGTAACAAAGCACACAGATTTATTATCTTATGGTTCTAGAGGCCAGATGTCCAAAACGAAACGAGCTTCACTGGGCTAAAAACCAAGATGTCAACAGGGCTGGTTTGTTCTGGAAGGTCTCAGGGAGAATCCATCTCCTTGCCTTTTCCTGGCGTCTAGGGGTTGCCCACATTACTTTGCTTACTACCCCTCCTCATTCCGGCCTGTGTGATTCCATGATCACATCTCCTTCTCTGACCCTGCCTCCCTCGTCTAAGGACCCTTGTGATGACATCAAGCCTACCCAGATGATCTAGGATAATCTCCCCATCTCAAGATCCTTAAGTAATCTCATCCTAAAAGTCTCTTGTGCCATGTAATGAAATGGATTTATAGTTTCCAGGGATTAGGACCCAAACATGTTATGATGGGGGGGCAGGCATTATTCTCCCTACAACAGCCCAGTTCTCATGGAAAGTATAGCTTAGTGAGAAAGAGAGGCATTAATCAAATAAACATATGCATGAAAATAGGATAATAGATTGTGATGAGAGCTGGGAAAGCTAAGAGCCTTTGCAAGAGTCCTTGAGCAAATGCAAGAGAACAAACTGAGGTTGGAGGGTCACTGGCTGGCTGAGTTCTGCAGGTCGGGAGCTAAGGCAAAGACCCAGTCACAAGAAGGGGCCCAAGTGCCATAAACAAGAGAAAGTGGCCTCCAGAGAGACTCAGAGCTGCAGGGTCTGGGCCTGGTAGAAATGTAGATTTTATGTAAGACTCCATAGGATTGAGTTGAAAGGTTTAGGCAGAGGACAACTTGACCCTTTTTCCTTCCTTCTAGAAGACCCCCTACCTGCTCTCTTGGGAGAGCTCAGGGTAGGCATGGGGCTTACCTCCAGAGGGGAAGCTCCTTCAGAGTGGTCTGCTTGTCTCTTTAATTTCATCTGCAGCCTCCCAGGTCCTGAGTCATCTTGGGTGCCAGCAAGCCAGGAGCCACTTGGCTCTCCTGAGCACCCCACTCAGGGTCACCAGCTGTTCTTTAGGGCCACTTCTTGCTGGTGTCTGTCATCAGCAGGAAGAACAGGTCTCCCAGCAATGTCTTTCCTCCTCTTCTGGCCATGCGTTTCCCTTTCGGTCACCAGGAACAAGCTGTTCCATGGCATATGGGGAGGAGTGAAGGAGGGCGTTGGCTCCGGGTGTGGAGGCATTTGCTGGTGTCCCGTTGCCTGACGCCTGTCCCTTCTCAGACTCTCTGAAGCAGCCCTTGCCCTCCATTGCCCAACCCCTCCCTTCCAAAAAGAACATAACTGTCAGCTAACCTTTTCTGCAGACACTGAATCCCCCATCACTGTCAGAGCTGGGGAGGGAAAAGATCAGCCAAGCCTCTTGAGAACCTCGTGTTGTTTTTCCTGTTTTAATTTTAGCACCTTATTGACTAATAAAATAGTTTCATGCAATAAAGACTTGTGTTATCTAACAGTAAACGGTCTCTGAAGTCATGAAGGGTGTTTTTCTTTTAAAGCTTTACTCTGTGACCTTGAATATGTTGCTTCTTGCCCTGGTCTCCCATTTTCCAGTATCAAAAATGTATCCATCTGGACTCCAAGTATTTAATATAAGCTGGAATTGGACTAAGCCCAACGTTTCTGCTGTTTTGCCTATAATAAAAAGAGTTGATTAATTCAACAAATGTGTGTTGCACACTGACTGGCGCAAGGCACAGAACCAGGAGTTTGGGATCCTGAGATAGTAGGATTCACTCCCTATCCTGAAGGAATCTATTAGTAAATTTTAACCTCCGAGAGGGTGTTCCGTCTGCTTCCCCAAAGCAAAAGATTTAGTTAGCACTTGGAACTATTCGATTGCTTTTAATTATAAATCATTCTTGTCTATGAGTTAAGAGAGCTTAGAAATTTATTTATCTCACAGCTAATACTACCTTCAATGCACCTTTCTCTCTTAATGATGGTCCTTGCTCTTTGAGGAAGGGACTGTTATTCTTCTCATTATATACATGTGGACAGTGAGACTTAGAGTCTCCACAAATAACCAAAGGCAGAGCAAAGATTTGACCCTACAGGATCAGCTTCCAGACTTTAGGTAATAGGTGCTCAGTGCCACAAAGACAATTAGCACCGAGACAAAGGATCTTTCAGCAATGCGATTTTTTTTATCCCAGCCTGCAGGAAGGGTACTCTCACTAGCCATTTTGCCCTGAGAGTACAATGAACAAAGGAAAACAGACATATTTATTCCTTACGCATTTGGGGTTGTCCTTACTGCTGTGTCTGATCTCCATTGGCTGGAGCCAGACCTTACAATCTAAACTAAAACCCAACTGGCTAATAAGTTAAAACTTTTCTAAATCCTAAAAGCAGTAGAGAGCTGGGTCACACCTGTGAGCACATCCAGCACAGATATCTTGGTTAAAGTACTAGGACATAGAATGTACTACATGCTGGTAAGCATGGCATGTCTAACAGCTATGTAGGATAGGGCTTAACAAAGAGTTATTAGCACACTTATGATTTATTCTTTAACAAGAAAGAAAACTTTAAAGAGGAACTTTTTTACTTCCCACATAATACTACCTTCAATACACTTCTATCTCATAAGGATGGTCCTTGCCCTTTGAGGAAGGGACTGTTATTGTCCTCATTTTACACATGTGGACACTGAGACTCAGAGTCTCCACAAATACCCAAAGGCAGAGCAAAGATTTGACCTTATAAGATCAGCTTCTAGACTCTAGGTTCTGAGCTATTGTGCTAATATTTGATAAACGAACTCCAGTGGTGGATTGACCCTGAATGTCGACAAATTGTTTCTGGAAGTGGATTCACCAGTACAGACTTATCTGACCATATCGCTGCCCTCTTCATTTACTTGAGGACACAAAGCTCTGTGTTCTCTTCCCCCAACACCCCTTAGCCCCTTATTCCAGGCACTGTTTCCCAATGGGGTAAGTGCTAATGTTAGAAACCTTTAAGTGTCTGAGACCCCTGGCCTCTGGTGAGTAGATTAGAAGTAAAAGGAATTGTCAGGGAACCAGCAGTGAAGTCCAGAAAATTTCTTTTATATAATTTTTCCTGAATTCAGAAGTTAATTTATGCTTGTGGTAGGTAGAATAATGTTCATTCCCAAAAGATGTCCATATCTTGATCTCAGAATCTGGGAAGATGCTGCTTTATAGGACAGTAGAAACTTTGCATATGTGATTAAGTTATGGACTTGAGCTGGAGGGATTATCTTAGATTATCTGGGAAGTCCCTAATGTAATCGCAAAGGTCCTTATCAGAGGGAAGCAAGAAGGTCAAAGGCAGAAGATGGAGATGGCACAGCAGAAGCAGAGGTTGGCGTGATGGAGCCATGAGCCAACAAATGCAGGCAGTCTCAAACAACTGGAAAAGACAAGGAACAGATTTCTTAGAGCCCCTAGGAGGAACTAAATTTGATTTTAGCCCTGTAAGACTTGTTTCAGATTGTTGTCCTCCAGAACTGTAGGAGGATTCATTTGTGTTGTTTTAAGCCACTCAGTTTATAGAAATTTGTTACAGCCACAAAAAAAAAAAAAAAAACTAATACCATGCTTGGTACAGAAATTTTGGAAAGTACAGAAAAAACATAAAGGATTTTTTAAGCCACTGTAATCATTCTGCCAAAAGGGGAAAAAATTAATATTTTAGATTATGGCTTTGCAGACTTTTTCTCTCTCTGTGTGTGTGTGTGTGTGTGTGTGTGTATAATTACACATTTCACAAAAGTCGTATTGTATTCAGAATGTGTGTTTGAGTTGGAGCAGTCTGATTTTAGAAAGTGTGAGATGTCAGTTGGGGGGGTTGGCATGGATGTTTAGAGTTCTTGTTTCTTTACACATGTTTGCAGTCCCTTATCTGCAGGGATGTCTGCAGAAGTATGGAAACTCTTGAAGGTGGGCAGAGAATGACCACGTGGTAGCTGTAAGAGCTCAGTTTGGTTCCTGAAGGGATGTTTCCTTGGGGACACTCACTTCAATGTTTTCTTTCTTTTGCAAGCATCCCACTACTACAAATACAAGCAGCAGTTCATCTTCCCAGGTGAGTTTCATTTGCGCTAGAAGCAGCCCCTTCTGAACACGCCCTGCTGGGTTATAGCAGATGCTGGGATGAATGGAGGCAGATGTTGTGCGGGGTGCCTGAAATCAAAGAGGGTGGTAGTAGAGTCACCACACTCCAGGATAATGGCTGAACATGGAAGTGGAAAAGAAAAAGTGGGAAGACCTAAGGGCACTGTGGGACCCAAGGAGGTCCCAAGGCACAGTGGAAAGGCCTGAGAGGGTGTAGTACTGTGGAAAAATGGGCGAGGGTGAGGAGGGGTCTAGAGCCATGTAGCAGGTCAGAGATTGTCAAAGGGTCCTGAGCTGAGTACGGAGAAGATTTGAAACCGGGGGCCTTATCATCCCAAAGGGAACTCAGGAGAAAGGAAGTTCAGAGATGACTAATGAATGCTTCAGGCCAGATGCCTGGTGGTTCTAGCAGCCCCCTTTTCAACAATGGAGAATTTTGTTGAGGACGTCATCCAGAAAACTGGTCCAGCTGAGCAGATAAAGTCCAGGTGGTCCAGGAAAGGAGAAAGGAGATTGGCCAAGGACAGAGATCCAATATCTGGTGAAATATTAGCTGCCACATCTCCCAGGAATTAGGCCTTTGCAGGGGTTGTGGACTTCATATTTGTTTTCTGAATGTCCAATCTCTGGTTTTCAGATGTGGTGCCGGTGCCAGAGACACCGACCCGGGCGCCCCAGGTCATCCTGCATCCGGTGACCTCAAATCCAATGTAAGTGGGACAGAGACCTCTTTCCCCTTCCTTGAGCTTCCCAGCCCTGGCTCTACAATCCACTCAGTTTCCCTGTCTTCTTTCCTCCTATTTCCAGATTTGATGGAGCTGGGGGCAGAGGGAGAAGTACAAGGTGGGCAGAGAGACATAGGAAATAACTTCGGCAAAAAGAAAGAGCATGACAGCCCAGGCAAAGAGATGGAGAGAGAGGCAGTGCTGTTCTTCACAAGCCAGCTATGCCTTGTGTCTCTGACCCTGCCTGTCAAATGCAATTTCCAGGGGCTGGGCCCTTTCCTAGGACCCATAATCCCCCTATGATTAGAAAGACCACTTTCCCCAGGTGGTAGCTAGAGCTTAATGAAGGGGCAATTATTCCATGTCACTGAACATGGAATAACTTTCAAAAGTCTTATTTAGGTTTATACCAGGAATCAGCAAACTGTAGCCTCTGGGATGGATCCAACCTTCTGCTTGCTTTTATGTAAAGTTTTATTTGAACACAGTCATGCCTATTTGTTTACAATGTGTTGTGTGTGGTTGCCTTCTCAGTACAGCAGCAGAGTCAAGTAGTTATAATAGAAACTGTATGGCTCGCAAAGCCAGAAATATTTACTCTATGGTCCTTTGCACAAAGAAATTTGCTAACCTCTGGTTCACATTACTATAAATATAATATAAGCAAATTTTGAAAAATTTGGACTATTCTTTAAAAAGGAGAAGGCACAATAATCACTCATGATCTCACCACTGTTAGAAGTTTTATGTGTGTTTTTCCATTTATATTTTACAGTTATGACCCACAATATATGTAAGCACTTACACCCTGCTTTGTTATCTTTATGCTGAACATCACATTTTAAACATTATTAGCCTCTCTATAGACATTGTTGGTTTTTGTTTCTTGTTTGTTTGTTTTTTGAGACAGAGTCTCATTCTGTCACCCAGGCTGGTATGCAGTGGCATGATCACAGCTCACTGCAGCCTCTGCCTCCTGGGCTTAAGTGATCCTTTCAGCTCAGCCTCCTAAGTAGTTAGGATTACAGATGTGTGCCACCACACCCAACTAATTTTTGTATTTTTTTTTTTTTTTGTAGAGACAGGGTTTTGCCATTTTGCCTAGGCTGGTCTTGAACTCCTAGACTCAAGTGATCCTTCCTCTTTAGCCTCCCAAAGTGCTGGGATTATAGGCATGAGTCACTGCACCTGTTTGACATCGTTTTTAATGGCTATAAAATGACATATTGATATAGAATAATTTTCTTAACCATTTCCTATTGCTGGATGTTTTACATTGCTTCCAATATTTCACTGTCGCAAATGGTGCTACAATCAACAACTTTGTGCATAGCATCATTAGGATACAGGCCCTCTTTCCAGGTGGTTTGTTGCTTGTGCAGCAGAAGTGAAGTCACCTTGGCCAGATGGTGCCGTGGCTCATACCTGTAATCCCAGCACTTTGGGAGGCTGAGATGGGAGAATCACAGTTACAGAGGTCAGGAGTTTGAGACAAGCCTAGCCAACATGGTAAAACCTCATCTCTACTAAAAATACAAACATTAGCCAAGCATGGTGGTATACACCTGTAATCCCAGCTACTCTGGAGGCTGAGGCAGGAGAATTGCTTGAACCTATGAGGCGGAGGTTGCAGTGAGCTGGGATCATGCCACTATACTCTAGCCTGGGTGACAAAGGGAAACTGTCTAAAGAAAAAAAAAAGTGAAGTCACTGAGTCACCTCAGTGACCAAAGTCACCTTCTTTGGTCGTGATGGAAGTCTGGGGCTTGCTAGGATCTGACCAGTTTCCCAACTCACCTTTGTGCCTACTTGGTTTTTCTTCTGGGTCCCCTAACTGCTTCATCTTTTCTCACTGGTCATTTGGACTTTGTTAGACTTAAATGGTACATCTCTGATTCAAAGGAACAGCAACTTGCCGGGGGATATTGTGCTAACATCTAGCTCTGGATCATTTCTCTGCTTCACATAAACCAATTCTACAATTTGTACAAGATGAACTCCAGGTTATTAACTGACAGTCCAGAGGTACCAGTGAAAAACAGTGAATAGCTGCTTGCAATCTGCTTAAATGTGCGTGGAGTGATGGCAAGTCTTTGCAGAGGGAAATAATTGAATAGCCCTGGATGCTGGAATCATGCCTTGATGCAAAGAGAGGAGGGTGGCCTGTTTTGGTTTTGAGCGTGAGGAGGGACTCCATTTGCATTGTCCCACCCAAGTCTCCCCCAGGGCATCAAATTCCCAGCATGTTAGCTGTCATTGTGCAGGTTCGTTCCATCTTCCCAGGCTGTGCTATAAATAATTGGTTAATACCATGGCAAATGCCACTTTGGGATTGACCTTTCTTTCCCCTTCTTTTAGTTCTTGTGATCTTTCAGACTCTCTCTCACCAGGACCCCCTCCAGCCATGTGGACTGACTCTGTCTGCAGAGTTACCCACTTCCTGCCATCTGAGGGTCAGAGGAGGGGAGAGGGAATCTATTAGGTTTTCACTGGGGAAATAGGAAAGGGGTGGGGTATCCATTGTGCTTTTTTTTTCTCACCTGTTTCAGCTATTCCATGCCCACAGCAACCCATTTCTGTCTCCCTGCTGCACTTCAAAAACACATACATATCCTTAAGTCTAACCCCTGTAACATACCTCTAAGGTACACTGTGCCCCACACCCATCACATGTCAAATGTCATATGCATTTGACATTTCTCTCGCACCTCAAATGCGCACCCAATTATACCATCAGCATACAGCATCCCCCTCGACATCCTGTGTGTACCCTCAACTCACACGCACACAAGACAACCCTGCACAAAGCACATCCCATAATACATATGTGGTACTCACACAAACACATTGTGACCCCCGCCAGCATCTGTACCCAACGTGTTTTCTTACTAAGAACAGAACTGCAGCTCATGAGCTTGTGAATGCAACACACACACACACACACACACACACACACACACACACACACAGAGTCTTTCAGTTCAATACAGTCTTTTTATTTCCATTCCACGTATCCTAATTCCATGTGATTGACAAGATCTACCTCAAACACTGGAAACTTTCAAATACATTCGATAATTCTCTCATCTTGGAATTCCCACCACACTCCATTTATCCAACTCATACTTAACTTTTGGCCTTGTTACTTTTAGCCTGTCTGCATAGTATCTGAATAGTAGCTTTCCTTCCTTCAGAAGGAATACAGTATTTCTTAAGGTCAGAAGCCATGGCAGTTTCAGTTCTATATCCCTCCGAAGGCCTAACACTGTTCCTGAACTCACATCTATTAAATAGTCACATGAATGACCAGACAAACAAGAACACTAAGATCTTTCCAAGAAATTCCAAATTTGAGCGAACTTCAGAGATCTGATTAGTTCTTTCCTGGCAAACACATAGACCTCTGAGGACTTGTCTACTTAGGGCAGTTAGGCCAATTTATAAGAAAGCTGCTACATGAGTTGAAACCGAAGCAAATAAAGAAAAATGAGCCCTGAGCAGCCCGGAAAATCAACTTAAAACAATGTCCTTGTGTACTGTTTTGTGTGTGTGTGTGTGTGTGTGTGTGTGTGTGTGTGTGTGTGTATGTGTATGTATGTTTCTGTGGTGAGCTTATGGATTATTTCAGACACAAGTGTTAAAATGAAATGTGAGAGAAAGGCTTGGTGGTGACGACTTCCCATCTGGGGATTCTTCATACATAGCTAAACTCAATACACAGAGCTACCTTTTCACCTAGGGATCACATTTATTTTTCTTTCTTTACAGCTTGGAAGGAAATCCATTACTTCAAATTGAAGTGGAGCCAACGTCAGAGGTGAGAATTGGAAAGCAGTGAAACAACATTTTCCAGGGGCTGCCCAGAACTTGGCAAAGCCGACTGATGTTTTCAATGATGCAGAGGGCTTGGGGTCAGGTGGGGGCTGCGGTGGTCCTGACTGATGGATGTTCTAACTCTGGGACAATTAGCAAGTGGTGGCCCCTCCCAGTATTGAGCCGAATGGGCCATTATATGGCGGGCATCATAGAAAAGCCAGTTGTGCGGAAATTGGCAAGAGATTTGCATTCTTAGTTGAAAGATCAGCTCAGGGCCAGGTGAATACCAAGGGAGATGTGCCCCGCTGCCTTCAAAACAATAGTGAGAGGAGATGGGGGCCTCAGGGATGCCAGGCTTGGAAGTGTTGAAAATGCTCTGGGGCTTCTTCTCACCTGCCTAAGCGGCTGCAGGACTATATAAAATGCCCTGTCTGGGAACCATGGAGTTCTGATCACTCAGCTCTGTCACTGCACTGTGTCTTGCACTGAAAGGAATAGAGTCAGGGCTTCCAAGGAAAATCGTATTCCTTTCTGGGACTATTTGGTTATTGGAAAATGATCCTGGGAGAAACCAACGTCTCCTATATTGTTTCCCCTGAGTGTGCCATCAAGGGTAGCTTGTTCAGGTATTTTGGGTCAGGAAGACCTGTACCCAGTCAAGAGGCCACCTTCTCAAGCTGTTTCATCAGGTCCCAGGGTCTCTGGGAATCCCCACTGGCCAGGCACCTGCGGCTCCCACAATTCTGCAGGAGAATCGAAGAGGCAATTCACCCCCAAACACCCCCAGATATCATGCTGATACGGTAGGGTCCCTGCATCTTGAGCACTGAACTCTATTGGTAGCCACGCCCAAGTATGCCTGAGTCATGTGGGTGCACATGGTAAAAATGCAGATTCCTGGTCCCGGCCTGCTGATATTTTCATCCAATAGAGCTGGGTAGGGCCCAGGAATCTGCATTTTCTCGGGCCTCCCAGTGAGTGTTTAGTACAGGTGGTCAGGTCTGTACAAAGAACTTAACAGGTCTTCATCTCATTTAAAACCTCACACCGCCCCTGGGGCAGATTTTATTACCCCCACTTTACAATCAGGAAAGGCAGCCTCAGAGAAGTCAGGCAACTTGCTCAAGGTCACACAGAGGCCGGATTTCAGCTCACTTGGTCTGATTGTTAAGCCCATTCTGTTAACCTCTCAATCTCATGTCTCCTACCTGCCCCTGGCTGCTGTAGGAGCCTCAGACATCTAGCCTGTAGCTCTGACCTCTCCCAATTTTTAAATCATCAATTCCAAATTCCCTGGGGAAGCAAAAGGTACTCCATGTTCATGGTTGTCACGTGTTACATGCAGATGCACGACGTACCCATTGTTTTAGCAAGTCTAACCTATCGGCTTTATCACATGCACATAAGCAACTTAACCAAAAGACCTTGGAAGAATAGGAAGGGCATGAGATATTCAAGTCCAGAGACCTGGATCTTAGTTCCTCCTCTGCCTGGCTATATGACCTGGAGTGAATCCTTCCCATGGCAACATAAGGGACTTTCGGTGCTAAAACCAGGAAGATCCCAGCAAACTAGAATGGGTGATTCTCCCCTAACACTGCTCTCTGTACCTCAGTATATCCCCACTTAGCACAAGAGAGTTAGACGATCATGATCTCCCTTTTAGCACCTTTACTGTAGTGTGATTCTAGACCAGAGCTACCTGGGGAAACAGAGGGATGTATGTCTTCACCAGCTCCAAATCCATGTAGAGATGTGTCAGGATCTATGCATGCACATGGGACCCCACAGGACCACGAGGGACGCTGAGGCAGTGGCAAGCACAATTCTGACCTCTCTCCCACTTCGGCCACAGAATGAAGAGGCCCATGATGAGGCCGAGGAGTCAGAGGATGACTTTGAGGAGATGAATCTGTCCCTCCTCTCGGCCCGGAGCTTCCCACGCAAGGCCAGCCAGACCAGCATCTTCCTTCAGGAGTGGGACATCCCCTTTGAGCAGCTGGAGATCGGCGAGCTCATTGGAAAGGGCCGCTTTGGGCAAGTGTACCATGGCCGCTGGCATGGTGAGGTGGCCATCAGGCTGATTGACATTGAAAGGGACAACGAGGACCAGCTCAAGGCCTTCAAGCGGGAGGTGATGGCCTACAGGCAGACGCGGCATGAGAACGTGGTGCTTTTCATGGGCGCCTGCATGAGCCCACCTCACCTGGCCATCATCACCAGGTCAGTTCCACCTGGGCTCCCACCCAGGGATTGCCAAAGCTCTGCTTCTGGCCTGGTTGAGAAATGGTTTTCTGCTTACTTGACCACTCTGGTTAATAGACCATCTCCAGTTCCAGCATGCACAGTTCACTTACATGGTTTAAGATTTCAGATTCCAGAAAATACTTAGTTAATTTATTTGGTTTTTTTAGAGACAGGGTCTCACTCTGTTGCCCAGGCTTGCATGCAGTGGTGTGATCATAGCTTACTGCAGCCTTGAACTCCTGGGCTCAAGAGATCCTTTCCCTTCAGCCTCCCAAGTAGCTGGCACTACAGGTGTGTGCTGTCACACCTGGCTAATGTTTTAATTTTTTGGTAAAGATGGGGGTCTCGCTATGTTGCCCAGGATGGTCTCAAACTTCTAGCCTCAAGCAATCCTCCTGCCTTGGCCTCCCAATTACAGGCCCGTAAGCCGCCACACCTAACCTCAGAAAATACTTTTAATGCTAAAACTCTTCAGCAAAACCAAAAAGTACTAAATGAGGAATCAGAAACATCAGGTCTAGTTCCCCCTCTAGTCCAAGTATTTGCATAACAACTTCTCAAAGAGTCACTGTCTTCATATGTGAACTGAGTAGATTTCACTAAATCGGGAGTCAGCCAACTTTTTCTGTAAAGGGCCCAATAGTAAATATTTTCAGCTTCGTGGGTCATACAGTTTCTGTAGCAGCTACTGCACTTGGCCACTGGAGTCTGAAAGCGGCCATAGACAATCTGCAAATGAAATTGCAAGGCTGTGGCCCAATAAAACTTTATTTATAAACCCAGGAAGTGGGCTGTATTTGGCCCATGGGCCGTAGTCTGCAGACCCCTGATTAAGATTTTTTTTCATTTTGAGATGGAGTTTCACTCTTGTTGCCCAGGCCGATATGGCACGAACTCAGCTCACTGCAACCTCCATCTCCCAGGTTCAGGTGATTCTTCTGCCTCAGCCTTCTGAGTAGCTGAGATTACAGCGATGCGCACCATACCTGGCTAATTTTTGTATTTTTGGTAGAGACAGGGTTTCACCATGTTGGTCAGGCTGGTCTCACACTCCTGACCTCAGGTGATCCACCTGCCTGGGCCTCCCAGAGTGCTGGGATTACAAGTGTGAGCCAAGATTCTGATAACTATTATTCTGGTTTTCATGAAAGTTGCAGAGCACATTTGCAGTCTTTACCGTTGTGGTTTGGAATATCCAGGATCTGTGGTCTATGGATACACAGAAGGGATAGTTAATAGAGAACTAACATTGTGAGAATGTTTCTGGGACTTTCTTGGACTTGCTCTCTGGCTTCTCCCAGTGACTTGAGGCTTGGGGAAAAATAGCTTTGGTTTCAATGGAACGGTTGTGAAACAATCCTTTGGTGTGTTTTTAAACTCTGGCACTGGTTCTCTTGTAACATTAGGACTGGCCTCTGCAGTGGCATTCTTAATATGACCTGTGATGCCAAGGGCCAGTTAGGAGCTCTCTCCTTCCTCTACTTAGCTTAAGCAGTGACACCCCAAATGCACAAGCCTCGCGTCTTGGCAGGCCCAAAGCAGATGCTGTGAGCTCAGAGAAGAGCTGGTGTGTCTTTGATCTCTTCCCATGTGAGACAAAACCTCCTTGAGTCCACTTATAAGAACTTGGTGATTGGTAGAAGGTGCATTATATTCTGTATCCATAGATTATGCAGACGATGCATTGACTGGAGTGACTCGTGCTTTGAATGGTAAGTGCTGGCGAAAGATTGCCGATCTGGGAATGGGCCTCCAACTCTTCTTAAATCAGGGGAAAGCTGGTGGTTCTCAACTCTGCACCAGACGGAAGTGGCTTTGAAGAAATCAGCCCAGGTAATCTTCAGGGGCTGAGCTGTTCTGAGCATAAGCTTTTGCTGAGTAACAAACTACTCCAAAACGTAGTGGTTTCTCTATGGACAGTTCTGGGCTGAGCCAGACTCAATAGCTGAGCTCTTATAGATGACTGTGGTCAGCTCTGGGTCAACAAGGGGATAATCAGTGTTAGATGCCCTCATTCATATGTCTGCTGGTTGGCAGACTGTGAGGGATAACTAGGCTATCCCTAACAGCCTAGCTCAGGCTCATTCTCCTGGCAGTCTCAGGTTTCCACGTGCAGTGAGAGGTCAAGACCCATATCTGTTGGCCAAAGCAACTCCTATGCTCCACTAGATTCAAGGCATGGAGACAGAGCCTCTACCTCTGAATGGGAAGATCTGCAATGTCCCACTGCAAGGACATGGATGCAGTGTAGGGACAATCTGGCTCTTTTTGCAGTCTACTACAGAGAGACCCTCAGCTCCCTTTCCTTCCCTTTCTTACCCAGTATATATCATCATCTTTTAGCAGCAGTCAATAGTCTATTACTTGGGATACACAAGTCTGGTTGGAAGGTGGTCTTCTCCCCACCCCTGGCCTTCTCCCCATTGCTCCCATCTTAAGCTCTTACCCCATCTTTCTCTCTGGTCAGCTCCTCACCACCCGCCTGCCTCTCTCTTCAGCATTATCTATGGAGCCTAACACCCATGACTCCCTCACCCTCTTCTCGAAGGCTAGCAAGTTGGAAACAGACAAACTCAGCAGCCATCCTTGATAACGAGTGGTCGTTATGAAAATGTGTTGCTCATCCTGCAAGCCAGCTGCATTTGCGGCCCCCTTCTATTGTGTACAAAATTCTGAGCCCCCCTCCCTAAGCACCATAACTGCCTACAGATTTCACAAATAGCCCAGCCTTTTCCTGGCACCATGATAAAGACTCTGCAGCTTTGGGACGTGTAATTGGTCTCTGAAGTGTTTTGGTATTTTGTGTGAGGATGCCAGATGAGCCCCAAAGAAGTGGCATTGATTCCATATTATTGTGTTGTTATATATTTATCTTAGGGAGGGACTCTGTGCATCCCTCTCTCCCATTCAGCCCTGTCCACTTGTTGGCTCTCCAGGTTTCTTATCTGCACGTTCAGTTTGAAACCAAATATTTGAGTAATTTGATTAATCACTTGCATTTGCACAATTGGCTGGCAGAGGTTGATGGTTGGATGATAGCCAACCAACTGGAACCATTTTGGGACCCTAGATTTATCTTACAGGGAACATAAGACCAGATAATTACCTGGCATATTCTGGATCAATCCACAATGGCGCATTCTAGCCAATTACCTAGTAATTATCATCGAAGTTAACAAGTACTTCTAAGATTAGCTTCCTTGCAATGCAGTATGTGTGGCTCTTAGGGAATGAGTAATAACAAACTAGTTACCCAATTGCTGTAGCCACAAATGCTATTAGCAGCAGGATTGCTAGATTGTTTCACGATTGAGTCATTATGGGATTATGGCAAAGCTATTCACCGTCTGCACAATCACTCGTGTTAAAAACTCCAAGTGAAATGTGAAAGCCAATAGAGTTGAGTGAAAGTGTCTCTCACCCTTCTGCCTTGCTACCTGGGGTTTCATAAGCCTTAGTTTCTCCTTCTGTAAAATGAACAGGTGGAAGCAGATATTTGTTGCAGTGTCCTTCCAACTCTGACAGTATTCTTTGCCTGTCTGATAATGAGCTGTGTTTGAGAAGCAGCTGGGAACAGGTCTTGAGCAGCGCATCTCAAAGATGGTGTACCTGGACCTTCCTACACCTGTCTTAGGAGAGGAAAGTTGTAAAAATGCAGATTCTGGAAAAAGACTGTGATGGTGACAGGCAAGGGCAAAGGGGAGAAGGTGAGGGTAGAGAAGCCGTCAGGAGCAAGACTTGGAGAAGGCAGGGTTTCTCAAGCCTGGTGGAGGAAGGGGAGCTTTTAATACAGTTAACAGTGCCTGGCCCTGCCCCAGAGCAGAGTCTCTCATCTTCAGCACTATTAATCTTTGGGGTCAGAAAAGCCTTTGTGGTGGCGGCTGTCCCATGCACTGTAGGATGTTTGGCAGCATCCCTGGCCTCTACCCACTAGATTCCAGTAGCACCAGGCACCAAGTTGTGACAACTAGAAATGCCCCTGAGACATTGCCCAGCGTGCAGGGGACTCTATCACACAGCCAGGTTTGAAGCCCTCTGTTGTAGAATCCCTGGTGAAGAGTCCTGATTTTACGCCAAAGGCAGTGAGCAGCCATTGGAGGGTTGTGGGAAGGGGTGCGGCATGGTGGTGGTGGAGGACAGCAATGAGGAAGCCTCAGAAATGAAGGGTGGGCACATAAAGGGAGATATTTTGCCCAGTGCAAAGGCAGCAACAGTTCTAGGAAATGATCCGCTTATCTGCCCTAACTTCCCATTATAATCAAAGAGCTGATGGTCTTGGTGGACACCCAGCGTCCTTCCTTTCACTCTATTTTGCTGCCCTCAGTCAGACTGGCAAACTGTGTTATAGAGATCACCCTATAGGGTTGCTGTCTTGACAATGGGTGAAGCTCTGAACCAGCAGAAGGCAAGCCATGCATGCTAGATGGGATGGCTGAGCCTCTTTGCTGAAATCATTTCCCCGGTTCTGGGGTAGAACCAAGGCAGAGCCCTCAAAAATAAACCAAAAAAGACACAGTTGCCACCAGCCTTCAGCAAGTGCTTTGCTTCAGGCCAGGTGTGGTGAGGTTCTCTGGTTTATCCCAGTGCCCATTTTACAGGTGAGAAAACTGAGGTCAGAAAGTCAGAGGGAGCCCTTGCCCAAGTCATAGAAAAAGTAACTGGCAGAACTAGGAATAAGCAAATGTATATCTGAATACAATACTAGTCTAGTAGGTTCCTTCTTTGCCAGTGGCTGCCTTAGCTAGATCAAGGGGAATGGACCTCACCTGTGAGCAGGTCCATAGCACAGAGATTCCGCATTTTTGGTCATATCAGAATCAGCTGGAGAAATTGATGACCATTCAGGGCTGACGCCCCATCCTACTTCAATTAGCTTGGACCTCTGTATCTTTTAGTAAGTGCCAAGGGATTTTGTTCACGCCTCAGTTTAAGAACCACTGGCTTATTCGAACTGAGTTTCATTTTTGTAGCTTTGA